ACTCTCTAATTGGATCACCCAGACTTTTGTCCTGGCTTATCAGCTATCGAAAATAGACTTACCTGTCTCTCCAACTGGCCATTCTAAACGAGCAGTAGCGACCTCGTCTGCTTTTGCCGCAGGGGTTCCATTGCAAGACATCTGCAGAGCTGCGATCTGGGCTGGTCCATGTACTTTTGCCAAGCATTATCGGCTTGATGCACGTGCCAGACGGGATTGCTCTTTTGGTAGAGCTGTTCTCTCATCCATTCTTTGATGATGACACCTCCCTCCGCCGAGTCTGGTAAGCTTGCGAATCACCCATATGTGTGATGCACAGAGGCCACGACGAAGAAAAGTAGGTTGCTTACCTGTAACTGATGTTCTTCGAGTGGCCATCTGTGCATGCACACAACCCACCCGCCGGCTCCACTTGGTGTCGGTGAGTGGATATAGTGTTTTTTCTCGGTACCATACTATAATTTGCATCGGTACCATTTGGATTATGTTGCTGGGTGGTTTTTTTTTTTCGGTACCGAAATATTAATGGCATCGGTACCGGGAGATTATATCGCTGACTAGAGATTGTTCTTGGTACCGTACTATAATTCACATCGGTACCGTGGGAATATAATGGTGTCTTATCATTACTTTATTTTTAACCTCTAGAGGGCGAACGTGCGGTCTTCAAGACTGAGCAAAATGGCGGACACTCCGCTCTATTTATACCACAAAGGGGGAGGGGAGCGGAGTTTTCCCGCCAAAAACCGTTAGCTTTCTAATCTTCCGGCCTAGGCACTGTGCAGGCACAGCAACCCATATGTGTGATGCACAGATGGCCACTTGAAGAACATCAGTTACAGGTAAGCAACCTGCTTTAACTTGGAGACTACCTGTAGAAAATTGGTTTAAATTATATAGAATCCCATGATGTGATCTGCCCATCTAGTGTTCTGTATGGGTTTCTAACAATGGCATTTGAGGAAATATTTATGTTGTTGTTATGTGTCAAGTGGTATCCAACTTATGGTTATCCTTTGAATGAATACCCTTCAAAATGTCCTGCCCTCAACAGCCCTATTCAGTTTTTGTAAACCGATGGCTGTGGCTGACCCCAGCATGGTTGTCTTCTCCTGTGAGTCTTGCTTTCTCATGTTGGATTATGTTATAAAATGAATTATGGAAGTCACCAGCACTGTCCAGTGTTACCTTTAAGTTTATGATGACTACATTTCTAAGCAGACTTGGAAATAAAGGTATTTGAGTTTAGCACATTTTGTTGTTAGTTTTTTTTTCAAGAGGGGCTTATTTTAACATTGTGCGCTAAGAGGAAAGAATGACAAATGTCTTAGCATGTTACAATATGCAATCCCTACTTTTAATTGCTTGTTATTAACATGATTCCACAACCTACATTAGAAATATTCTAAGATTATAGCTCCTCAACTATAACTCTGAGCAAGAAATATTGGGCAGAATGGACTGAAGTATCTTACATTAGAAGTATTCACCAGTCCAAAGTATAATTTTGGGGCCATTGTACCTGATATTTACAAAACTGTTTCTCAAGACGTTTGACTCTGTTTACTATTTTTCTCACTGAACCCCTGATGGTAAAGAAAGTATGGTTTGTCAGCAGAATCACACCAGCATTCTACATAAGGCAATTGAGTTGGTTTTCTTAGGATTCTGAATCAGATCCAGATTTTTATTGCCACATAGTTAAATGCCAATTTATATAGCTTTGTGGTAGCCAGAACACCTTTACAATGGGCCACAGATAGTACTATATGTTTTAATTTTTCTCTGGGTCATAACAGCTTTATGCAATAATGTAACAATATATATGATTGTGGTTCTAGGAACTGATTGTGGTTCTAGGAAAAGAACATGGACTGAATTTCTTTTTACGTTTCCAGCGTCCCAGAGTAGTTCTGGCGCTTGGATACAAAGGTGCCAAAGGTGTCTAAACCTGTTCCTGATAGGGCAAAAAAGCCTGGTATGCACAAATTAAGCATGTGAAACATTTCTGGCTTTGCGGTAAAGAATGGGGAGAGCTTTGCCTACTTAATTTGTGTGTATCAGACTGATCCTAAAGATACAGGATAAGTAAAAAGTCCTAATTAGCAGTCCTAATTACCCATAGGCATGTGTGTACCCACAGCATAGCAAGTCATCAGTTGGACATTACATTACTCAGAACCAAATGGGACTTATAGTAATAGCTTGATTTCAAGTTTTGGCTATTTATCAGTTGGGTCAGGTTGACTCTAATGAAACATGTAAAAGGTTCATATCAGAAGAGACTTGGGGAGCTCCTGGGCATATCCTGGGCTGTATTATTCATTTGGGGCTGTTTTAAAACAGTTAAAGCGGCTTATCAGTTCTTGAACTGAACTTACACAGTTGTCATTAAATTGCAGTGTGGAATCCAGGCATCTTTCTCTGCAGTAGCAGTTCAGTTGTGGTATTCATCTTTCTTGCTTGGAAAATACAGCACTCTCTTCTTTCTCTGAGCTAGTGCATCAGTTGTGTAAACCGTGACATACACTAGCAAAGCTAGGCAAGTCCTCCCCATGCGTAAGTGCCTTACTATTCCATGAATATTTGTTTGTCTAGTGAAAGACCATCTCCAGTCTTTCATTACACATCCCCCTTGTTTTAAAAACAATTTATAAAAGTTATTAGCATATTCTTCCGGCAATATGGCAATCATTCTATCAATCACTCTTGGACAGGATATTGCAATTTTCCCTTTTTTTTCTAAAATCTGTGGAGAACTTTCATGAGCATTTCCAAAGATACAGCACTTTTCAGAAGGAAAATGGTTGGTTAGGCATTCACTTAAATGTTCTGCCCTTTCAATGACTGGAACTGTCAGTGCATTCTATTGCTATGATGTTGGCATCTTGCCTACACTACAGTAAATCCCTCACATTTCTCAACAAGGAAGAGTTTGCTTTTCTCTTTTTTCCCACTGGATATCTTGACAACTATCCTGTTGACCCTGTCTGGAACACACATTTCTGGAAACAGGGAATTTCTTTTACTCTTTACTCTTCTTTTACTCTTTTACTCCTGTCTGTTTTCTTTCCCCAAATGCTAGCGGCAGACTGCACACCATCAAGCCAGTCCTATCCCAAGATTTACTCTTTTTGGAGTTTACAGTGTAAAGTCACCGTTACTCTGTAATGACTAGGGACTTTGTGTTTAGCTCAGTTATGCAATTTTGTAAGCATTTGTATTGCATCTGAATGTTACATCCATCATTCTGTTCAGTTTTTTCAGCGAGATTTTAGTATGATAGCAGATTTATTTGCACCAATTCACCAGCATAAAAAAAACAAGCATTATTTCATAAATATACCAAATATTCACAAATAAATAGGTCTCATACTATATACTGCTAAGAACTTCACAAATGTTTTCTGACATGTTTTCTATGTAATCTTGGCACTGTAGGATCTTTTCCTTATGCAAGCATTTAAGGAGCAACTTTACTTGTTCTGTTTTTATAAAATTAATTTTCAGTAATTCTTTGAAACCCACATTGCAATGAAGTGATATACGTGTAATTTACATTTCAAGGAGGATTGTTGTAGCTTCAGTGCACAGATCAAAGCTGGTTTCATTCATATGAAGGTGTCTGTTGTAATTTGCAAAATACAAAGGGGAAAGGAGGAATTTCCTATATTTTGTATATTTATGTTTTTTTACAAATGTTGTTTAATATCTTGGGGTGTGCGCCAAGATATTTTTTTTAACACATACTTGCTGAAGAGCCATCTGAACATCAGGCCAGAATGCTGTCTCTTCCCTTAGTTCCTCTCTTGATGACCAGTCCTGCTCCACTATCTGAGTGGCCTCTACAAGGTTTCTAAGTTCCATGTCTCCTGCCTGCTGTTGCCTTTACTGTTCTGGTATCCCACTCTCAACCTCCACTGATGTCACAAAGGGCATTTTTAGTGTTTGAGTCTTACAACTGAGTGCTTTAGGGCAGTAGGAAATGTTATGATTCTAATTATGGGGACAATGAGCCACCTGTGTAACCATAAAGTACAGAAGTATTGTTTATGTTTCATAGGGCTTTGGAATTATACCCTATCATTACAAGCTCGGTAAAGAACTTTTTGTTCCAGCTGGTTTTAAATTCATTCTTTAATCATTTAAATTATTGTTTGAAGTGTCAGTCCTGCTGCCTTCTGATGGCTTTACTCAGAGATGGGGAGGGCTGTGGTACTCCAGATGTTGTTGGTGTACAGTTCTCACCACCCCTGACCATTTGCCATGCTGACTGGGGCTAATGGGAGTTAAGAGGCCAAGAACATCTGTAGGACCACAGATTCCTCACCTCTGTTTTGAATCTACATGTACAGTCCATCTCTAGACACTCACAGACGTTAGTCTTTATCCTTTAAGTACAGCACTTAAAAAAGCAGGGAATTCTAATGTTATCTAAAACAAACATGGACAAAGTTGGCACTTGTTCACCCCAGTGATGTATTATATTTCTATTTATTATGCATATCTGTTACAATGGTGTATTATTTTTTGGCCTCTGAACTGTTTGTTCCTTATAATGTAGAATTCTTGAAACCGCATTTCACCCAGCAGCCATTATGTTGGTCCCACAAAAGGCAGAGGAGGCTTAAGTGAATCCTGCATGTATTAATTCTTCCAGAAATGGTTTAATGCACTTGAATGCTTCTTTAGTGAAGCTGACAGCCCAGTGAGGGCATTTGGAGAACACAGTATTTTCTTTAATTCCAGCTCTTTTGTCTAATCCAATAACCTGAATTTTATTGATCAGTTCCAGTTCAGATCTGCAAACGCTTACAGGTAAGAATTAAGGTTCTGGTCTGATTTGAGAAACACTAATGGTTGGAGCTAGTCTTTGGTTTTTATTCCTGTATGGATAGCAGTAGAGCCGATATTGAATATGTTTGTCTTTAAGGTATCACAAGACATTGTGTTGCTTATCTTTCCTGCAGAGTCTAGTATTATATTCTTTTCCATTCTAGGGAGTGCTGTAGGTTTTTTGGAGACAACGGCTTGACTTTGAAGGCATTTTTTACCAAGGCAGCGCCCTTTGGTGTTCTTTGGACCCTCACAAACTACCTATACTTACATGCAATAAAAAAAATAAACACTACTGATGTCTCCGTGTTGTTCTGCTGCAACAAAGCATTTGTGTTCCTGCTTTCATGGATCGTTCTCAGGGACAGATTCATGGGTGTGCGGGTAAGTGAATAATAATCTCTTGCTTCCTCTACCACCAATCTTTTGTTTTAATATTTTCTGCATATACAGTGGTACCTTGGCTCACAAACTTAATCCTTTCCAGTACTCTGGTCGTGACCCAAATTGGTTGTGAGCCAAGTTAAATTTCCCCATAAGGTTCAATGTCAATAAGGTTAATCCGTTCTGTAACCATTTTTAAATCAGAAAAATGTGAAGCAAAGTGACAACAACAAAGATCGCAGCCATCCCCACCCCCAAGCACAAGTGTGGTCATCTCCTCGCCTCCCTCCCCCCCAGCACAACCGAGATCGCGCCTGTCATCCCTGCACGCACCCATCATACAGGTGCGCTGGGGGGTGGTGGGGAGAGACAGGCATGATCACGGGCGCACTGGGGGAGGGAGAGATGGGCGCAGATGGCGCGCTGGAGGTGGGGAGATGGTCGTGATTGCAGTTCCTTTCTTGCAGGGAAGGGGGTGCCTGATCAGAGGCGCGCTGCTGCAGGAAAGACAGGCGGAATCTCGGCCATCTCCCCCGCGGCTCTGCTTTGCTGCTCCCGTCTTTCCTGCAGCGTGCGCCTCTGATCAGGCACCCCTTCCCTGCATGAAAGCAACTGGGATCATGGCCATCTCCCCACTCGGGGGGATGGGGAGATGGCTGAGATCTTGGTCGCCACCCAAAGTGGTGTTCGCGATCCAAGTCAAAATTTTTCAGAAATTTTTGTTCGTGACCCAATTTGTTCGTGAACCAAGGTGTTTGTGAGCCGAGGTACCACTGTATCTCGTACACATTGAGTTTTATTATTTAAAGTAGCTCTATCAAGCTCCTTTCCTATGGGTTTGAATGCTCATTCCAAAACAAACTTTGTCCTGGCTATTCTCATTGTGGCCTAGCCTTAGCATTCATGTAGCTTTTGCCTTCTAAAATTAATTTATCATTCTCTGAAGCATGTAGGTATGTTCTTATGTGTACCAGTTTTCCAGTCCAGTTGACAGTATTGGATTGTGTATTTTTATAAAGTGGAGCCTTCTGGAGCTTTTAGCTTTAGACAGTACTGCTGTTGTGTAAAACAGCACTATTAGAAAAACAGCACTAAATAGTAAAACAGTACTATTTTAATAAGATTCCATGTTTATGGAACTTTGCTGTTAAATATAAAATTCAGCCTTACCTGGGCTGGGACTGTGCCAGCTGGCCTAATCACTAGCCACTGCATGTTAGAGTTGTTGCCTGCTCAGAGGTGTCCTGGTTAGGCCAAGGCCTAGGCTAAGGCCTAGGGAACATGGCTGACAGCAAAAGCACACACAGCTTCTCTGGAAGGGCACAGTCAGTACCAGATTGGACTGTTCACTCTTGTTCCAGCAAGAGACTACATCAAACCAAGACATCTATAAGACCCTAAGAAAAGCCTTGCTGGAATAGACCAAAGGTCCAGCTACTCCAGCACATCCATACACATAGTGGCAAACCAGCTCCCCACAGGATCACTCAGGCAGGACGGGTGCAAGACCTCCTCCTGCCCAAGCTCCTCAGCAACTGATCTGTGCCCTTTCTGGTAAAGGAGGCAGCACGTAGCCAACAAGGTTAGTAGCCACTGATCGCCTCCTTCCTCATAAGTCTCTCTAATCCCTTTTAAAGGCATCAAAATTGGTAGCCATCACAACTCCCTATGGCAGCAAACTCCGTATTTTAACTGAACACTGTGTGAAGAAGTATTTCCGTTTATCTGTCCTAAACCTGCCACCAGTCAGCTTCATGGGATGACCCTGGCTTTGAGTTGGTATGGGAGAGGGAGAAAAATGTCTCCCTCTCCACTTTCTTCACATCATGCATTATTTTTAGCATCTCTATCATGTCTCTTCTTATTCACCTTCTTCCTAAGCTGAACAGTCCCAGTTGTTGTAGCCACTCCTCACTGGGAAGCTGTTCCAAATCCCTGATCATTTTTGTTTTCCTTCTCTGTACCTTTTTGTTCTTCAAGAAGGTTGGCAGGGCAGGCGTTTCAGCGAATCTACCCTGGCTGGAAGTTGGTGGCAGCTCTTAAAGGCCCCGTTGCTGTTTCTGTAGCTTCCACACTCCTGCATGGCCTTGAGGAGGGAGATGTTGGCAAGGAGGGAGGTCAGAGTTTGTGGCTGCAAGGAGGACCATGTTCTCGAAGGTATATAAGAGAGTACTGAGGGTTTTCTCTGAACCAGGATGGCTGCTGTCTCATCGGACTCAGAGTCTTCCTTTAGGTTCTTCCGGTGGACCCCCTGAGCCTGGGGACATGACAGTAGGAGCTGAACTGACAGTTCAGACCCTGCCTGTGCAATTGGTCATTAGGGACCGTGTGATATGATATATATGTAGTACTCCATCATCTAAACCAGCCGCACTCCCTTTGCATATATTTCCATTACTGTCCAGTCTTGAATGATTCCTTTCTGAAAAGGAGACCACCTGCCCCCATCTCCACATGATCCAGAACGCTGGAAACTTCAGCATACTTTGCAGAGCTTTGTTCAAGGTTAGGTAATTGCTGCCTAAAACTACTGAACAAGTGTTATTCCTAAACAGTGGGAATAGAATCCTTTTTGAGCTTTCTTTTTTTGTTTTTTTAAATAAGTTTTTCTATTCATTTTCTGCAAATGTTGACTGCAAAAGCTGACTGATCAGAAAACCAGTAATAAACACAGTTCTTCAATAATCTCCTATAAGAAAAACAAAAATCCATGCATGCTAAGCATTGTCTGACTTTTACCAGCAGTTTGTGGCTGCAGTGGGAAGAAGCTGCCTGACAATAATGGGCATGCTCTGTGCTCTGTTGAATTCATAATCACGCAGGGCACTGACCATAAACTTGGGTCAAGCGATCTCCCAAGAAACTCTCTCTCAGATGCTGAATCTAAGCAAAAACTCATCTTTCCAAAGCTGACAAAGTGCTTGAGTAGGAAACTATTTTAGCTGTGATCCACACTTCTTGCAAGTAAGTTTCATTGAAGTTTGCGGGGATCATGGTACCAAAGGTGGCTGATTAAAAGCTGTAACATTCTTTGTAAAGCTTTTCCCAGAAGACAACCTCGGTTCAGCTTTCTCCTGAGTCACTGCTAAAGAAACTGGCACAAATCTTAGCAAGTACAGGTGTAGGCCTCTTCAATTGAAAAGGCACTTTGAAATTAAGGTACTGCATGAATTGCACAAGCTGCATTGTGGTATTTGGACAGTATTCCTGTAAAGCAATATTTGCATTGCTTCAACATAAGAACATATAATGCTGCCTTGCCGTCAGCCATATCTTTGGCCTAGCTACGTCAATATCTAGTGCAGGAACATCTATTTTGTGACCTGATGGCACAGATCTTTGCCCCAAGTCTGTCTTTCCCTCTCAGAGATACTTACTATTAGTTATCTGGGGTAGGCAATTATATTTTTTTTACTCAGCAAACCCTGAAACATTATGTACAACCTAGAACCAAACATGTCACTATTGATGTGTTTTGGACCTTTTAAATGTTTGAGCAGAATTCAGTATTGTATGGATAAATGTTTGCCTCCTCTCTTCTTCGCTTTAATCCTTGGGCTCCCAAAATCTGTTCTAGAGGGTACTCCAACTATTCAGAGCAGTTCTGGAGGGAGAGTGGGGTGCAGAGGAGGGGGAATCACTTTCTTCCTATTCAACTAATAGAAGCATTTCCATTAACAAAAGGAAATGGCTTACACCTTTTGTTTTTACTTTAAAACATATTCTTCATACCAAGGGAACCCCGCAGGCATGCAGAAACCATTATTTTTGGATGGCCTTGCTTCAGTTCTTTGTTCTAAGCATTTCAGTAGAGGGAAAGATTATTAATTTCAGGGCAACTGAGTTTCAGGTACACTATACATTTTACAGATTGCTTTAAATGTATAATAATCTTATGGCCAAAATGTTTTTTCTGAAACAAACATAGTCAATATTCTGTTCCCCCATGACATACTTTAAAACCCATGTTAGAGGGAACAATGCTGTATCCATTGATACTTTCAGATACTACTGGCAAAGGTCTAGAGATAAATTTGCCAATAATGGAATATGTGGTAGATAAGGTCATAACTGAGATGTTCATGTTTTCAGCCATACCAGCGACTGCAATATACTGTAGCATCCTTTCTATATAGCACGGGACCTCTGGTATTGTGTGAATCAATCTGCCATAGGCAGCATATGGTACTTCTGTAGTTTTAAAGAATAGCACTTTTGCTTGCTCTAATAGGATCTGACTCTGGGTGCTTCCAGATAAAGCCATTATTATGCAATTGTACTGCTCAGTCACAAAAATTTACAGGCACCCAGATAATGTAGTGTGTTTTTCCCCTTACCAGTTCTCTTTGGGAAGAAAAAACTGAATAGGTGTGCAGTGCCTTCTGCTACAATCCCTCCTTCTGGAAGCACCAACAGTTTTCTCATAGCCATTCTTTGCCCACAGCTGTGTTGCGTTTAGTAGGCTGTAACATTTTTTAATAAGTATTACTTGAGATATGTTCCTAGTGGTGGTTATAGTACTACACAAGATATAAATTAAATGGTACCTTCTGTGTTAAGAGCGGGCATGAAAAATATATCTTGCATCTCAAGGGAACACTAACACACTGTCTCCATGTATCCAAACAGATTGTGGCTGCTATACTTGCTATCGCAGGGATAGTTATGATGACTTATGCTGATGGATTCCACAGCCATTCAGTTATTGGAATAGCACTTGTTGTGGGATCTGCCTCAATGTCGGCTCTCTACAAAGTAAGTGTGCTCCACTTTTCCCAGTGTGGCGGTGCGTGTCTTACGTGCTTCAGCCAAGTCGAAGCGTGTTCATCCCTTTCTTGCAGTTCAGATTCCATGTTTTCAGTCTGTTTATATTGAAGTACTGCTCTGCACAGGGGCACAATGGCATTTGATATTCTGACCTTATAGGAAACGCAGCCAACCATTATGCAGCAGTATTAGCCTTTGGGAATCCCATGGTATACCAGCTGAGTTTGGTTTTTATGATACATTCTGTAGTTCTGGTTTTCAATTTTTTAAAGAATTTCTCACCAATTAATTTTTTTAAAACTGGAAAACTGTTTTTAAAAGATAGTGATTTGATTTATGTATTATTTAATTATTTAATACATTTCTATACTGCCACAATAGCCCATAGGGCTCTCTGAGCAGTTTGCAATTATAGTAAATAAAACCATTTAAAATAAATAAAAACAATTAAAAATAGAACATAATAAAAATCAGTACAATAATGGATTTGGAAACAATATATAAAATAACTCTAGCACCAATGAGATCTTAATAACACAGTTCAAACATTAAAAACATTTCTTGAATAAAAAGGTCTTAGTATGGTGCCAAAAGGACAGCAAGGACAGTACCAGGTGCACCTTGCTGAGAAATATGTTCCAAGGATGGAGTGCAACCACTGAAAAGGCCCCGTCTCCTGGCCAAGAGCCCCCCCCGCTTACTTCATTAGGGGGTGGCTCCTGGAGAAGGGCCTCAGATGAAGATCTTAATGGTTGGGCAGGAACATGTGGAGAAAAGCAATCCTTTGGGTAACCTGGTTCCAGGCCATTTAGGGCTTTAAATATTAGTGTAAGCACTTTGAATTGGGTCCAGGCTGCAACTGGAAGCCAGTGAAGCTGGCGAAGGACAAGCATGATGTGTTCATAGACACCAGAGCCCGTCAACAACCGCATGGCGCTATCCTGGATCAGTTGCAGTTTGCAAAGGCAGCCCCACATAGAGAGCATTGCATTAATCGAGATGGCAGGTTACCAGTGCTTGAATAACTGTGGCAGATGGGCACGCAGCTGGGAAATCAGCCGCAGCTGTCAAAGGTGCTCCTGGCCACCAAATCCACCATGGACTTGGTGGATAACACAGGATCCAGGAGCACCCCCAAGCTGTGTACCCTGTCCTTTAGGGGGAGTGCAACCCTGTCCAGGACAGGTTGGATATTTTCCAACTGGACAGGTGGACTACCTAGCATCACCACCTCTGTCTTACCTGGATTGAGCCTCAGTTTATTGGCCCTCATCCAGTCCATTACTAAGCCCAGGCACTGATTTAGAATGGTCACAGCCTCCCCTGGGTTAGACGAAAAAGAGGTAGAGCTGAGTGTCATCAGTGTATTGCTGACACTTCGGCCTAAAACTCCAGATAACTTCACCCAGTGTTGATTGAGTGAATGAAAACAATTACATGGGGTCTCTTCGCATTTCATATCTCCCAAACACAAAGGTCTGCATTTGTAAGGAAATGATAATGCACTATGGTAGGCTTTGTTTGCTTCAAATAATTTAATACCTCAAAGAAATTAGAAGCTTTATTTGTTCAGAAGAGGATAAAAAATATGCAAAATTGTTCATACATCTTGAATAGTAAGAATGGTAAGCACTGGAAATCTACTCAGTCATGGCTTAGACAGAATAAGGTTGCTTTCCTACTTTGTAATGAAGCAGACATGAACATGGCACATACACCAGCGATTTCCATCTGTTTGTTATAGAAATGTCTGCCACCAACTGGTGACTTAAATAATTTGTGGTATCGTCTTCTGCATTTGATAGATATACTCTCTTCCCATCCCTCTTTTCCAGTTGCCTGCCTTTCTGTGAAACAACCACCAGGCAGGTTGCCTGAGAGCATTAAGAAGCAAACAGCTGGAATTCAATTTTTAAACCAAGTCCACAACTCAGTCGGAATAAAACATATAAATTAGGAAACCATGGGCTGCTGTCTGCGGAGACACCCCTGTTACTGTTCTCTACATGTCACTCCTTTGTTTGAAAGCAGAATGCTGTTGGAGAACTAAAATAAGGCAGAGTGGTGAAAAGAGAGGGGGCCTGTAAAGTCCATTAACAGCGATTCTACAAAACTGGTAAAATAAAGTAACAGCAGCCACCAGACAAAGCGGGGACTTTTAGCACATCAGGGAATCAGCCATAGAAAACATGCTTCTTAACAAAGGAAAAGGTGACACGTACATTAATATTCCTCAGCAGGGACTTTCTTCAGCTTTCCTTTCCAGTTCTGAAACAAGGAAACTGAGAACTGCATGGGAGCAGGAGATGGCTTCTCACTGTGCCTTTCAATGTTTTGTTAAAGCATCACCTCAAAGTGAATAAGCCAAGTCTTCAAAATAGAAGACATGTTCCTACCTCTAATGTGCCTTGTAATTGCTTGTACCCATTCTGCTTACGGTGTATATTGAATCAGGTTTATTTATTTATACTTCCATTTATATGCTGCCTACTACCGTAGTCTCAAGGTGATATTTATTTGTACTTGAGATGAGATGGCTACCTATGTAAACCATAGTCTTTGCTGCAAATGGTGGCATTGATTTTAAACCTTTTAAACTTAAAATTTAAATCCAACCATTGTTTGGCTAAGGATGGTGACAGGAGTGTGCTCGTAGAAGGTGTTTCAGCATAACCATAAGCCAGTCAGTGTCGTGATAGAACTACAAACACAACCGCACCAACTGCCAAAGTCAATGCTTGCTCACGCAAGAGTGGGTCCTCCTGGCACAACAGAATTGGCAGAGATTCAGTGGCATTATAGGGTGCTGCCCAGTATCCTTTGGTCAGCTTATCATACTGGCAAAGCCAGACACAAGAATATTGGTGTTTGCAATCTAGGGCCTACCACCAGCAGAGGACTTGAGAATGTTCTTGACTAAAGATGGTTACTTCCTGTCAGTAGCTGTTCAGTGGAATACGTTAGTCCTTTCCCTGCTCCATTTCCCACCAAAGAGGAGGTAGCTTTCAGTACAGAACTACATCTAAGTGAAATGGAATTAACAACCTAATTGGGAAGCAGTTTGCTATTACAGAGTCTTGATGGTTGACTTGGGACATATTGACAAAGTTAGGGAAACTTGCAAGTGCTTTGGAATAACCTAAAGCAGTTAACATTTGTTAACATCTAAAATTCATTGAATAGTTTCAGACTGTTAAGTTAGTGACATTTGGGTTCCTTTAAAATCAATGTGAAAAGTTAATAATGACTTAAGTCCTACTGATGTCAATGGCAATAAAGTGCAAGTAATTTAGCCTAGATCAAACCCATTGACTTAGAATAATCCCACTGAAACAGAACTCACTTCCAAGTAGTGTGCTTAGGTTTCTGTCTGTAATTCTTTGCATTTGTAACTGAAATTTGTAACTGAAATGGACCAATAACTTGAACAGTATATAAAGTGTGTCTAAGTAGCTTGAAATGGCTCCTTTAATATGCACTAATTATTAAAGTGTTGGACTAGGGCTGGGGACACCCAGGAAACTGGGAGAACAAACAAGATTGCAAGATAAGAATTTCAGACAATATTTATTTATTTAATTTATTTATTTAAAACATTTCTATGCCGCCCCCATCGCAACAAAGCCTCGGGGCGGCTCACAAAAATATATATATTAAAAAAAAAATTTAAAACCCCCCAGTGCATTCTCGGCTAATTTAAAATCCTAATAAATACAATAATTTAGCAATTAAAATAAGTTTTAAATAAAAAGGTCTTAGCCTGGCACCGAACAAATAATGACAGCACCAGGCGGACCTCTCTGCCTGCCTATCTCTGCACCCTCTTAAAGTGTTGCAATTCCTGCTTGATTGCCAGTGCATACATTTGGAGAGGCTGCCTTGGTTACTGGAACTCCTACTGCGTGTCTATAAAACAGCTGTTAGTGGTTGGTGGCAGAATACCTAAGCTTTATCTTGTTTGTTGATTAAGGATGTAATTAAAATCATACATGAAAGTCAACATCATAGTACTGGAACCCTTTACAGCACTGAAACCCAACATACAGAATTGCATCTATAGAAATCTGCTTTTATCACATTTATTATAGTATCTCTCTTATTTTTATTTGTACTGTTATGATTTTTTTCCTTTTAGAATGGAGTCTGATTTAGGCAAGTTATTTACCAGTGAAAATTTCCTTGGATTTTTCTTCTTGGTTGTTGATCTGAATTGTTGATTCCTCCATAGCAGCACAGATAGTGCCATTCTATTATTAACATATGATAAATGTATTCTGAATTAGAAATAAGAGTCTGAAAATTATATTTGTGTCCTAAAGAGCTTTTTACTGTACATAAATAATTTTTAAAAGCTGTATTTTTTCTTTTTCATTACAGGTTTTGTTCAAGCTTCTCCTTGGCAGTGCCAAATATGGAGAAGCTGCCTTATTTTTGTCAGTATTAGCTGTCTTCAATATCCTTTTTGTTACTTGTATTCCTGTCATTCTTTACTTTACCAAAGTTGAATACTGGAGTTCGTTTGATGCCATTCCTTGGGGAAGCATTTGTGGATTTTCAGTCCTATTATTGAGTAAGTAAATACTCTGTGTTTTTATTAGCATTAAGTTGTCGTCAGTATCCTTTTTGCTTTCCATGTTCCTGTTACCCTTTACCCAAGTTGAATAGTCTGTGTTCTTTCGATGCCATTCTATAATAATGGAGGTCCCCCAAGCCACCAGACAACTGTGTTGCATAGGCTTAAGAATAGGAGTCCTGCTGGATCATATCCAAGTTCTATCTAATCCAGCAGCCTGTCTCCCAACAAGATTGCCCCAATGGAGTGCCCACAAGCAGCACATGGAACAAACGCCCACCCACAGTGTTGTTTCCCAGCAACTGGCCAGCCCTTTTTGCTAGCAAAGGCCCTTTTGCAGCTTTACTTTTCACACTTGGACAAGCAGCCCTTCCCAGGACATAGGTAAAGTAAAGGATTTCGTTTCAGTCACCTGAAACTACACACTAGAGAAAGACCTTTTGTGAAAAAGACAAAGATGTTTGCACAAATTTCTGGTGCAGCAACAACAGCAATCACAAAAGAAAGTGACAGACACTCCAATGTGCCATTTGGGCACTTTGGAGAGTCCGCCTGTGGCTGTCGCTATGAATAAAAACAGTGGCAGTCTCTGGGGGGAAAGGAAGCAGCCATGGTGAGCGCAAAGGGCTTGTGGTCAGCGTGGGGGAGACTAAGACAGTGGCAGTGACAATTGCTCCAAAGTGAACACTTGGTTGAGTGGCTGCCATTGGTGGTGGTCCTGGTGAGCTTGACAAGAGTGGCTGGGGGTGGGGGGGGGGTTGCCACTCCTGCTGAGCAGTTCTTTCACGACTTTTCTGCATGCATGAGAGGGTTGGTTGCCTGTCATGGCTAGTAATCGTGGTTACAGTAACTCCTCGAACAAGCCGTGACTTGTCAGAGTGGTTTGCTGCCCACAAGCAAGCTACCCTGTGGGAAGCAATCCAGATTCACATGACATGCAACCCACCCATGGCTAGTTACCTGTGATGGGTTGCCAGGCTACATGAACCTGGTAGTGACCCATTCAGACCTCAGTGAGGGCTCCAGTGTGGAGCTAAACATAGAAACAGAGCGAGTCCGAAGGGGCCTTCTGGGCCATCTAGTCTGAACTCCCAGCACCAGCTGGCTCTGCTCACAACATGCTCACCATGTGCATGTCCAGCCTATCTTTGAACACCTCACTGATGGGGCCTCAACGACCTCCCATGGTAGCCCATTCCATACCCTCGGGATCCTAGCTGTCAGGAAGTGCTTCCAGGCATCTAAATGGAACCTTGGTTCCCTGAGCTTTGCTCCGTTGGAGCACGTCCTGCCTTCCTCTGCAGGGGAGAACAGGTCTCCACCCACCTCCATGTGACATCTCCTCACATACCTGTATGTCACCAACATACCTCCTCTGAGTCTCCTCTTCTCCAGGCTGAAGAGACCCAGTTCCCTCAGTCTCGCCTCATATGGCATCCCCTGCAAACCGGCCATCAACCTTATGGCCCTACGCTGCACTGATTCTAACCTGGCTATATCCTCTGTATCCTTCCTGTAATGAGGGGCCCAAAACTGAGCACAATACTCCAGTTGTGGGCGCACCAGAGTCATACAGAGTGGTAGTAATATCGATCTAGAAGCCACACTTCTAGCTATGCAACCAAGGGTGGCGGCGTTCACCCTCTTGACCTCCACATCACACTGCTGGCTTGTGTTTAGCCTGCAGTCAACCAGCACCTCGAGGTCCCTTTCACAAGTGCTGCTCTCCAGCCACTTGTCCCCTAACCTGTACTTAAGACACCCATTCCTATGCCATTCCTATGATCTGGAGTACCTGCTCCTCAGTTGTGGCCACTGCTCCAGTTTTAGTATCGTCTGCAAATTTGATCAGCAGACTGTTCACCCCTTCTTCCATGTCATTGATGAAAAGATTAAACAGGATCGGCCCCAGGACAGAGCCCTGGGGGACCACGCTTGTCACTGGCCGTCATCCCGATGATTCCCCACTTATGGTTACCCTCTGCTTTCGGTCAGTCAACCATGCCCTAATCCACTGGACAGTGCTTTGGTGTATCCCAAAACTCCTCAGTTTCTCAACCAGGATATCATGGGGCACTTTGTCAAAGGCCTTGCTGAAATCCAGGTAAACCACATCCACTGCATCCCCTCCATCTAGCCATCTTGAAACCTTGTCGTAGAATTCCACAAGGTTTGTCTGGCAGGACCTGTTTTTGCAAAAGCCGTGTTGTGTGGCTGCCAGCCACCCTTCCCTAGCTAGCATCCCTAGATCTCTCTCTATTATGAGCCTTTCCGTTGTTTTTCCTACAATGGACATAAGGTTAACTGGTCTGTAATTCCCTATGTCCCTTCTACTATCCTTTTTGCAAATTGGGACCATTAAGTCTCACATCAGCTGCTTTCCCCATTAATTTCACAAGAAGGTCGGCTTCTGCATGCAAAAGTGTGTATGTGATGTTTCCCTTTTTATTGAAGAGAGTGGACAATGCTCCAGCAAATCAGCTCTGGGTACACACTGGTAAGTGTATCACATGGGACACCTTTGCACAATCTCGAGAAGTTCAGTGGCATATTAATCTGTACAAGTCTTACTGAGAAGCATTTATACTGGTTTAAATGGGACTATTTTCAGTGGACTGGTTAAATCTGCTTGATTAAACAGGGTTAGTTTTCCAGCAAAACTAACCCCAAAATAAAATAGTATATCTTTTCTTTCAGCATTCAATATTTTATTAAATTTTGGGATTGCTATTACGTATCCTACCTTGATATCACTTGGAATTGTACTAAGTGTACCTGTAAATGCCGGTAAGAATTATTTTATTTTTACAATTTAAATTCCATTATATGTATAAATGAAATAACACTTGAGTTATACCTTAGAGTTATACGTAAGTGTATATAATGACATATATATACTTAGGGTGCAAGAGAGGATAAATGATATTTAAAATAGCAAATAGATTTGTTGTAACTCTAGTCCTTTTGGTAAGTGATTAATGTAATACTACCATAATTGACTTTACCCTAAAAACTAGAGTTTCAAAATGGATTGATTTCAAGCAGTGTTCTCTAATTCTCTATGAGGACAATATGAATTCTGATGTGCCACCCACTTGTTTCAATTCTCCTTGCTCAGAAAAAAAAAATCCTTTTTTATCTGGGTTTGGCTGTATAAAGATGGTGATAATATTAGTTTTATTTGTTATGTATTTGTTTATGTGTTTATTTTATACCTTGCCTTTCCTCACAAGAGGCCAAGGCACTGAACAACTTACAAAAAATACAAAGCCTAGAAGTTACCAGTGCATTCACTACAGTGTTTAGGTCACTCTCCTCCTGGAAAGGCTGCAGTTGGTGAGTTAGCCAAAGCAGGACAGAAAAATACTCAGGAGCAATTGTATCTAAAGCCCTAGTTAACTCCTGATTCCATGGGGTATGAGTTAAAGGTTTTCAGCAGTCACAGTCTTCTATATACCTTCTCAGGTCTTAATCAGCCAGACATTACACAGCACCGCAGGTATATACCAAGATTAAACTAAAATACAATCACAACAGCTATTAAAGAGCACAGGTCAGTAGGAGTCCTTTCCCACATGCTGCCTTGGCCTTGGCCTTGCAGGAATAGCTGCTGAGCCACTAGAGAGGCTGCAAGTGCTGCTGTTGCTGCTTCCAGGGGAGGACAGCTACTCCCAGAGCTGAGGCACAGCGGCAGGCAGCAGTGCTCTTACCGCTTCTCCCACATGCTGCCTCGGTCTTTGCCCTGCAGAAACAGCTGGTGTGCCACATCTCCGGAGATGCTGTCTCCCACATGCCTTTTTGCAAACTCCACACAGCCTTTGATATGGGTTTGTTTTAGCAATGATTTTCTTTTTGCCACACTTCATATAACCAAGTGTGATAGTTGTCCCATGGATGGTTTCCTCCATCACAGCTGTGGATTTCTCCGCTCCATTAGAGTTGCCATCGGCCCCTTGGTTGCTTCTCTGACTTATTTCTGCCTCATCAGGTACAGAGCATTGGTCTCGTATACAATCCCATACAGAATTATTCAGCTCCCTTTGAATTTTCCACATATTTTGTGTGACAACCTGGAATTGATCTCAGATCAAATGTCACTATTTCTGGAAGACCTCAGAATTTGTTGGAAAGCATATTTATGCAAATAGCATCATGAAGACCAAGAAACTATCCAAATAACTCCACAATAAAATTATGCAGAAACAGCAATCGGTGCTGGATTATTTTTAAACATTCCCAAACTAAGAACATCCCCTAGAGCACCATTAAACCCATTATTGCAAATGGAAGGAATGCCGCTTAATTGTGCTTTTGCAATCCGAGATTATGCAGCAGTGGGACTTTTGGGGGCAGTGGGGTGCAGCAGAGCTCATTCAGGCAGGTCACAACAAAGCAAATGACTACTTGTGCAACCAACAACTACAAGTTTGCTTTTGTTTACTTTTGTGTCAGTATTAAAAAATGGCACCTTGTGAACAATGAGTATCTTGTGTCCATCATGTTGTAATGATCCCAATTCAATCCATTTCCAGGTCGCAACACAACACATGTGGAAAAGTCAAGGGGAGGGGGTGAATATGTCTGCACAGCACTGTATAAGAATATACAAAATGAAAAGCAAATACATCAGTGCAGAGAAAGAAAAATATAGGGCACTTGTTTTTACAGTGGTACCTTGGCTCACGAACTTAATCCATTTCAGGACTCAGGTCGTGACCCAAATTGGTCATGACCCAAGTCAAATTTCCCCATAAGGGTCAGTGTAAATAAGGTTAATCCCTTCTGCAGCTATTTTTTTTACTCACAAAATTTTGAAGCTAAGTGACAAAGAACAACAAAGTTTGTGGCCATCTCCCCCCCTCCCAGCGATTGTGTGGGGGGGTGGGGGAGACGGGCGCAATCGCGGGTGCGCTGGGGGGGGGAGGCAGGTGCGGGCGCCTGTGGGGGAGGCAGGCACACTCAGGCAGGGAACACGGGTGCAATCGCGGCCATCTCCCCCTCCAGCATGAACGTGGCCATCTCTCCCCACCAGGACGACCGCAATCGCGTCTGTGCAGGGAAGGCGGATGTGCTCGCGATCGTCCTGCAATGCAGAGTTCGCGACCTGCGACAAATATTTTTATGAAATTTCTGTTCACATCCCGATTTGGTCATGAACTGAGGCGTTTGTGAGCCAAGGTACCACTGTACCTTCAAAAGCTTTCACAAAGAATGTTTTTAAGTACCGCATGAATGATAACAGCAAGGAGATAGCGGCAGCAATACTGGAAGAGAGTCCCATACTTGTGGTGCAGAGATTAAGAAGGCCTTGATATGTGTGGTCATGCCATACACATGCTAAATTCCAGTCTGAAGTTTTGAAAACCTAGTTTTGCTAATTATCAAATATATTATCAAAGATTGGGAGCAGCCATAGGTTAGGGGTAGACAATATGCTTTGCATGCAGAAGGCTCCCTGTTCAATCCTAATGTCCAGGTAGAACTAAGAAAGCCGCCTGTCTGCAGTCCTGGAAAGCCACTGATCTGATTTCGTGTAACCAGGTTTTGGTGATCCTATGAGATTCCAAAATGCCTATCTTTCGAGATAGACCAAGCTGCCCACGAGGCAGAAAGTAAGTTCACCTAATTCTCCTCTAGAGAAAGATCCGGGTTATTTATTTACGCCATAAACATTTACATTTATTTACAGTAGGTACATCAGAGTAAAAGTGCCATAAGTGGGATGCATCAACAGGTCCATAATGCATTTTTACATGGTCTTTGTGCAGGAAGACAGAGGAGATGATGTTCACATTTGCTATGTGAAACAGATATTTGGCTTTGGTGGCCAATTATGCCACATATGTCAGCATGTCTCTTCTCTTTGGCATGCTTTGGCTCACTAGCTTCAGGTCCTGACAAAAATCAGGCTCAGTAATCCAGATCCCAGTGTGTAGTAAGCAGAGCAGATTCACTGTGCCAAAGTATCATAGAACAATTAGAAGAGCTCAAATCCCAATGCAGGAGAAGATACAAAACACAGGCAAGTTGATTTTGTCTTATACCCTTTTAAAGCTGTCCAGATTAGTGGCCATCACTACATTTTGCAGCAGCAAATTATATAGTTAAACCATGAACATTTGCACTCATTACTGGTGTATTTCCAAGCCCAATCTAAAGTGTAGGTTCTGACCTTAAAATGCCTAAACACTTTGGAACCAAATTATTTGAAGGACCACCTTCACCCATAGCAGCCTGTCTGCACTTTGAGAGCTTTCTGATTTGCCCATCTGCAAGAGCAAGTTAGGTGGATGTCCACATAAGAGAAGGCCTTTCCCTGAGTGGCCCCACACCTCTGGAATAAGTTACCATTGAGATCAGCAAATCCCTATCATTGCAGGATTTGTCATTGTCAGAAAAGGCCTTGAAAGCATACTTTGGCTTTCCTCTGAGATGTTTCTTACTTTTATTACTGTCTTTTATTGTGTTCTTACTGTTGTGATCTCATTTGTTTTATTGGATGCATTATTTTTACATTTTGTCTTGAGAAGAATCCTGCTCTGAAGAGCGGCCAAGACATCTTCAAATAATAGCGATTTCTGACTCCCCTCACTTTTGATTTCAGCCCCTCCCACCACTAGAATGCAGCTCCTGAGAAATAGAATTCAATGCTTGGGCTGAAATTCTGCACCCTTGAGTATCACTGGTGGCTTTCCATTTCCAGGGCATTGTTGCAGTTGGGCCTCGGGTTGTGAGACTGAATTGAAATACAGACTTCTGCTATATTGGTGCATGATATAGTCTGTCTGATATGTGATAACTGTCTATCCGTTAACGATATTTGGTTCAATGTTTCATGCAGTGGTTGACCACTACTCGAGTGACATTGTCTTCAACAGTGTCCGTGTCATTGCCATTGTCATCATTGGCCTGGGCTTCCTCCTGCTGCTTTTGCCTGAGGAGTGGGATGAGTGGTTAATAAAGCTCCTTACTCGCCTCAAAGTACGAAAGAAGGAAGAGATTCCAGAAGGAAATGGAGACATTGTTTCTGGATTACAAAATAAAAGCAGGAGAACGCGTCCTTCCATGTCTTCATTCACACATTAATGCTATTTTTTAATGAAAACTCTTCACACGGTATGCTATAATTCACAGGTCTTTCTTGCAAAGCACATATGTTCAGTACAGTGTACATAGTTGTACAGTTTTGATAACAGAGTCTGAGGCATCACGTTTCAGCATGTCCAAATTGCTTGCACTGTTTCACATCAAATCTTTCACCTGGGAGAACTTCTTTGAAAAGGCAAAAACAAAACTTTTTAAATGAATGTAATGTATAAATGAATAATCTTTGCATATATTGTTTTAATGATTGATCATCATGAGGAGCAGGGCATATATTTTGAACATTAGGTACTGAATGACACATCGCACACTGTGATTTACAAATATAATATAAATATATATATAGAAAGAGAGATGCTATGCTATGTCATAAGCTTAATTTTTTTACCAGAGCTGTATGGTAAACATTTTCAAATAAACCAAAAGAAAATATTTTGTGGGGGTTAGGAAAAGGGGTGGGTGGGAGGGAAACTGCTTTGTGAAGATAAATGCACTTGGTGCCAGAGCAAAAGCAAGAATAAAATGTTAAGTTTTGCACTAAAGCACGAGGGGGGAAGCAGATAGGAATACCAGGTCACCATCAGCCAGGAATTTCTCTGGCGAAACCTCCACCAAAATGAATGGCCACTGAGCAAGAACTTCTTTGCATGTGGTATTCCTTCATGCCTCCCATCCTTCTCAGTAGAGCTTGTGCAGGGAAAGTTCTCAGGGGGTTGCGCGTTAAATCTTTAACTGTGCATGACTGCAATCCATGCTTGATCTCATGCAAGGGAAAATACAGTGCCTTCTACAGAATTCTAGTCCATTGTCTGTGTAGAAGTAGGTCACACTGCGAGTTGCTTGCTTTGGTCTTACAACAAGAAGAGTGTGTTCTGCAGACACAGTGTTCTTGAAACTCCCAAACAAATCAATGAGTGCCTGCTTCAAGCCACTGATTATGGGGAGTGCTAACACTTGAGGACTACAAGGTTTTTTGTCATGGCAAGATTTGCTTCCCAGTTACATGGGTCTAGGGGTGGAGACCGTCCTCCTGACCTGTACTTCTTGACGGGAGAAGCAAGACCTGTGTGCAAGAACCTTGCTTAAAACTAAAAATAAAGCTAGCAGCCACTTACAGAGGAACACAATTTATGATGTGTACAATGTTGAGAATACAGGGGACTAAGAGGTAAATTGCCACTTGCTTTTACTCCATTGCTGTGAAGTTTTTTTTAAGGACATGCAAGATATTTACATCAGATCTAACACTTTTTACAAAACTTGTAAGCACCAATCTGTTTACTTCTACAATTTAGGTTTGCCATTAAAATTCTATCTGTGATAGACCATGTGATATGTACAAAGAACTAGGCAAATATTATAGTTTACTATTTTTGAAGTTTACATCGCTGCATACAAAATGAAAAAAAAATTTTATTTTGAAATGTTGCCATAACCCAATGGTACATGCTGTCTCCATGGCATTTTTATATGTCAAATGGGGTGGCATTCACTTCTCAATTTCTTATTGAATCAGTTTCAGATTCAATTATCTGCTTGACAAAACTAATAAAACTACTGAAAGTTCATACCAAGTCCATGACTTCTGCTTTGCATTCTTACTGTCTGGTAAACGGAAATGTTATTTTTACTAAGAAACATTCTACTTGTGTAGAAGTGATGAATAAAAGAGATAGAAGGTAAGCCTTATAATATGACTCTGACAAAGACTCTCTTCAAGTAATCACAAGCACACTGATTGTTTACATTTCACAAATGTTCAATATTGTGCATACCTCTTTGGATGCTTAAGGGAATCATGCTAGCTTTGAAAATTAGTTGACTTGTGATCCTTAGGGAAAGCTTGGGGCAGTTTTGCCATCTCACAGTCTAGTCATATCTGTCCCATACAGTCCTGTATTTGGGGTTCTCTGAAGGAATGTTGCCTTCTGAATGGTGTCAGTCACGAATGGTTTCCATCCTATCCCACTGGTGTTCAGATGCCAACATTTGGGATTGTCTGCAGGAATGAGACTGCAAGCTTCTTTCTCAACAATTTTAAGGACAGGCAAAACAAAATACATACAGATTAAGGCAGACTTCCCCATATTGTTTCTTCCAGATATTTTGGATTTCAGTTCCCATCAGCCCTAGCCAACATGGTCAGTGGGAAGGAATGCTGGAAAATGTAGTTCAAAACATCTGAGGGGCACCAGGATGGAAAAGACTCCCTTAAGCTAATGCAATTCTTTAAGAACATAATTTGCAAACAATGCTTAGGCTAGGGTTTGGGATATGGTGAAAAAATTATCATTAAAGTTTTGTTGTAACTGAAAGTCTTTAAGAAAGTTGCTAATCATATTCATTCATGCATGCATTCGATTTCTATATCTCCTGAGAATTAGTAGATTTTCTGCTCTTAGAGCTTCTCATTATTGGCTTGAGGACACAGTGGATAAGAAGAGGAGATACAGTTAAAATTTATCACCATACAACAGGTCATCAGAAAGCAATGCTGTCCAATAAACAAGCAATTACAGGCAAACCCAACCTACCTCGCAGGGTTGTTGTCATGAAGATAAGATTGAGAAGAGAAGGAGGAGAGTTATGCAAGCCACTTGAGTTTCTTGAAAGGGAAAAAGGTGGGATATAAATATAATAAATAGGGTTTGGGTGAAGTAGTAAAATATTGCAGTGCTGCCTGAAAATGAAACTGCAGCTAGCTCTTTCAGCTACTAAGGGCACAATGCTTTGGCTTCTAGGTACTGTCTAAATGGCCATAGAATAGCTCACTATCCCAGACCTGATCTCAAATGTTTTCTGAAGTCAGAGCTGGCCCAGCCCTTCATGCTGGCTGTGGTTCTGAAGGTTTTGGAGGGAGCCAGAGAGGGAAGGAGTGAGGCTTTTTAGCTATCACCTTTTGGCTTTTGAGGTTCATAGCCTTAATTCCAAATATATCCAGTAGGCAATTCTCTTTAAACAGACTCCTCTTAAGGTGAAAGTTTTGTGCCCAGTTTCCACTGCTTTCACCCAAATTGTTCTCTGTACTTGAGTTTGCATTAGGTCCCTTTCCATTCTCCTCCCACTTCAGGACTTGTACTAGCTTATTTATGTCCTGCTTGAAATAAAATGCACAGGCTGCACATCTACTCAACCTCTGAAGGCTAAACTTCAGTGAAATTTCTAGCCTGTCCAAAATTCATTCAGAAAAGCTGCACTGGATTGTAGCCTAAACAACCTTATTCCCATTAATTTGAGCTTAGGTTCAATGTGCAATTTCTGTTGGATTTTATAATTTTCTATGGCTAGATATCACCATTGGACTGCTTCAGTCAAAGGGTGCTGATCCAAAAGTTTATGTCCATCTTGACCAGGTCCTTCCTTTTTCTAACCACCTGAAAAAGAAAAGATTGATCATCTGAAAATAAGAGATTAATTAAAATACCAAATTATGGATGCAAAATATCATGGTCTTCAGTTACAGCTTTCACGGCCATAAAATACATTTTTTGTGAAGTTAATGAAACTGACTCTTCTTCCACACTTATAAATTGTTTTTGTAACAGAGACTCTTCATATCTGTATGACCTTTATCATTTTTATTTTTTAAAAGTCATTTTACAATCCCCTGGGGGACTTACAAGACATTTTACAACCTGTTACAATGATTGAGTGCAATCCAGTGGAACTTCACTATTTCATGTCCCACAGATTTCAGTGGAAGAGAATTAAACAAAAACTGTTTGTCAGAATTTGAACTTTTCTCATTATTTTGAAAGCTTTATCCACTGAGTGAAGACTTTTTATTCACATAAGAAAATAAGTGATTGGGGGAAGGGCAGCAATAAAAATAATTAGATCCAACCAAAATACTCCTTGAACAAGAATGAGAACATGAAAATACAAGATGTCATGTGATCCATATTGATCTTTAAATTTCAGTAAACTAAGCCAAGGTTAGAAAAGGAAGGACCTTGGAGGTCATCGATTTCAACACCTTGCTCAATGCTTGCTCGGCAGTGCACCCTGCAACAACAGCATCCATAAGAGATGGATTTCAAGCCTCTGCTTTCAGGCATTTCTCATAGGGTCTGATTTCCAGACTCCTCACCATCCTTGTCACACTGGTTTCACTTCTCTGGATATTTTTCAGTGTTCTTCTTAAACTGTGGCGCTCAGAGCTGGACACATAACTCCAGATGCAGCCTAGCCATCACAGAATGGAACAGAAGGATTAATTTCTTTTGACTTGGACACTATGGACTAGGCAGCTTTTGTTAATGGGCTGGCTCTCTCCAAGGTGGGGGAATCTTTTATTTTCTAGACACATAATAGGTTATAGGCTTCAAAGTGGAGTGGTTTCTATCTGCATGATAGTATTGGCAATGCTGTATTATTTACTGACGCAGAACCAAAAATATCAAAGATCAGTAGGTACTTTTGAGCATAACTGATTGCGTCTTCCCACCTCACACCTCTCCTCTGTGTTTCTTACATTAAAAACTAGATAGACAGTGTGCATGCATGGAACACAGAGTTTTATCCAGGACTTGCAACACAGAAATCTGTTATGTAATACCCTATTAGTCGGCAAGATGTAGGTGACAGGAAAAGAGCTTAAACGTGTGTGTTCTATATTAGTATAAATAAATATTCAAGCTATATTTATATTTCATTGTGTAAAGGCATTAGATCATATCTAAGCTTCATGGCCACTTATCACCCCACCTGCTCTACCTCTAAAAATATACCTGCCAGGATTAATCTACACAGTTAAAAAGAAAACTGAACCCTTTATTTAAGTGTACATAACCCCAAATGAAGTGTGCCCAAGCTCAAAGCCAATCTGATAATATCCCAAAACCCTCAAAATGGAACAGACTTCTGTTCAAATGCAGGTGGGATTGGACATATATTTTGGTGGAGAAAATTATGTTTGTAAAACGTATCAGGAATATGTGTACTGTTGTTAAACCTTCCTTGCAACAATTCACCATGTTCATGGCTACTTTCACTACACTCAGAAACTGCTCCATTCCAGAATACATGCAATCAGTAGCTATTATTATTATTATTATTATTATTATTATTATTACTACTACTACTACTACTACTACTACTACTACTACTACTACATTTCTATGCCGCCCCTTGCCGAAGCCTCGGGGCGGCTTACAACACAATAAAATACATTGAAATACAATAGAACATAATATATATAGCTATAACCGCAAGTACTGATTTCAGCCCAGTTCATTCGCATGGGGCTTGGGGACTGTAGCTCTTTGGCTTATTTTGTACTCCTCTGTGCTGCATTGCAGCAAAGGATGGGATCTAATGCCTGAGTTATACCACTGATGCAGTTACACATTTGCACCCTTCACTTTAGCCCTGGAGGCCAGCCTTCATCCTATTTTCTTAGCTTGTGCAAGAGAATCAGTGCCTACTACCACATGGGTAAGAGCTTCAGCTGTCTTCTGAGAGCAGTTACAGCAACTCGGAGCCCGAGCACTAAGATAAAGTTGCGCCAACATCACAGTGGGAGAAGGTAAGGGCTTCTGGATAGCATTTGGGGTCTAGCTGCTGTACCCCATGCCTAGCACAGAGTGCAACTTTCCCTGCAGTGATAGAGGGCTTTGCTTGGGCCAGTTCAGCCAACTGAGCACATTGGGTTTCTAAACACTGTTGTACAAATATATATCATAGCCCAGGCTTCCTCATACTGGTGCTTTCCCAGGATTTTGGACTTCAATACCCATCTGCCACAAGCAGCATGGCCAAGGTCAGGAATGCTGGAGATGAAAACTTCTGGATGGTATCCAATTGAGGAATGTTGTACTCTTTTGTACTCTTCAGTAGAGTATGGGTAGCTTTTTTCTGAAGTAGTTATAAAAAGTCCTCCTTTGTTCTGGTGAGGCTTACTTCTAAGTAAGTGGGAGTTCTTTATCAGGTTAATTGAACCTGGAGAATTTCTGAGTAGACATGTATAATAAATAATTTAACTTCAGTTTATTTTAACTGTTTGAGAACTTTCTCACTTTTATGCTGCCTAGTTCGATAGAACATCTTGCACCTAAGGAACTCAATTCTCTAATGGTCATTCTCAGCAGGAAGACTGCACCTCAACATGCTCCCTTACCAAAATAGATCAATATTAACCGTATTTATCAGAATGTATCTACCTACTGAAAGGTTACAGATGTTTGTTAAGTAAACATAAATCAATGATGTATCCTAAATTCAAGTTTCTTCATATTAAAATGTGCACTCAGTATTGCCCCATGGATGTTGCTGAATGTTCTCCGGTTCATCTTTTCAAGATGTGGTTTGACCAACATGCAGTTTATTGCAAGAAAAATTAGTTGATTGGCAAGTCGTTAATACTGCTGTCCTATTTATAGGCCATCATAGGATTTGTCCCAAAGCCAGGTATATTCTGAAATAAATGTCTGTGTTTGTATACGCCCCGCTGTAAGGACTTACTGATATAAAAGGCATCTGAACCTACAGAGTGCAATTGTTGCATACTCTGGAGAATGTTTCAATCATCATCATTCCTGACAATTTTACAGAGTCAAAAGATTAGTGTGGTAGATTGGTTTTGTTTTGTAAAGCCTTTTGCAACCCTATTGATCAAAAGCAACATAGAGTCAAACCTGCAGCAATAATTATGTGCTTCATGTAGTTAACAGTGCAATTCTATCCATGTCTACTCAGAAGTAAGTCTTATTTGCTTCAATGGGGTTAATTTTCAGTATGTAAAAGCTTTGAGCCATCACTACAATCTTATACCCACTTATCTAGGAATTAGATCCTATTGAATTTAGTTAGATTTACTTACTGATTGATAAGTGTTCTTGACTAATTTTAGCTACTTGTTTATTACACAGCTAAAATGTGTGGGGGTGGAACACTTTGGTGAAAGCTACTGATTACTGAGAGCCATTTTTAATAGTGATGAAATAAAAGGGGGAAAACGCTGGGACCTAAGAGAAGCAAATATATCACAATCAGTCAAATAATACTGATAATAAAGTTGGAAGAGAATTTCTTGGGAGTGCAAAGGTACCATAGACCTGTGGTCTCTTATTGAAGGCTTTTGAGAACTGTGAGCATTCATTCAAGTTCACCCCTTACTTAAATGCTGACCCAAAACAGCAAGGACTACTCCAGACAGTTCAGAACTGCAGCTTTTTGGTTTCCATGGAAATAGAACTCATCATTGTCTATCATGCCACCAGCGGAATGGAAGGATGCTTGGGGTTTGATTTTCTATACAACAAATCTACTTTTCTTCTGCATACCAAAGCTGCCTACCTAGATAAACATTGATCGCTCTGGTTTCCAAAGAGGCCATCATGTTAATTTCTAAGACAGAATCATTAACAGCAATTCCTTCCTGCACCCTACCGCACTGCATTCCCATAATATAATCCACAACACTTAGAAGCACAAGACAGGAAAAAGCAAAAGGCACCACAAAGACATCTGGAGAGCCCTGATTTCAAAGAAGGCAAGCAAATGAGCCATCACATCCACACTATTCAATCCAACTGAGCGGGTGGGGAAATCTTCAGGGAAATGAGATTTGACTTAGTCTTGAGTAATGAAACTCTAACTGATTTCAGTCCTCTACATAAATATAACTGTCTAAATCCAACTGCAGAGCTTAAGCTCAAGATAGGGGGCGCTTATAATACAGTTTAGAACTTAATGCCTTGAATTAGTTCATTTAGCACTAAAAGCAAAACAAAAAATCATGCTCAGAAGAAGAAAAGCATCAGTACTACTGAATTTTCCTGATCTACAATTGTTTGTCCTGCACCGACTATTCTTAGAGTCTAGGATAACATTTGTCATATGTGTTTGTTTTCAACCAGAATCTGCTGCAAATGTCAATTTCATTCTTCAGAGAAATCTTTGAAACTCCTGATTTATGAGCAACTGTCTTAACACTATTTCAGATACACAGACCCTGGAAATACAAAGTACTAAACCAACAGTGGGGCAGCTTAAAGGAAACTGCTCTAAAAGTGGAATCTGATTTATTATTTCCAGGAAAGTTCATGTAAGATTGCAGTCCAACCTATATGAACAATTGAAACACCACTGCATGATCCATAAATAGCAATAAGGCAGCAGTTCCCAAGTAAGTTAGATTACTCAAGCCATCAAAGGATCATAAGGAAAAGTGGGGGGCTGCTTTAGTAGGTCAGAAGAGACTACTTTATTTTGGCCTGATGAGTCTTCTTTCTAGTTATGCATCTACACAAATCTTCCGTTTATGTATCTGCCTTGGGAAGTCAGGTGAGTGGCTACTAGGAAGCAGGCCTTTTCCATTGTGGCACCTTGACAGTGGAATAAATTCCCCAGGACTTGTTTGGCACCTACATTGTATTATTTTCAGGGCCAGATTATTTTCCCAGGAATTTCCTAGAGTCCACACCACTTTAAATGAATTTTAAATCTTTGTTCTGCTGCTAGGCTTTACTCTAGTTTTCACTTTTATATTGTTTTAACTGTTTAATTTTTATACTATATGTACACTGTATCTTATGTTTCAGATAGTTTTAAATTGTGAATCACCCAAAAAGCTTGTCATTGGGCAGTATAAAAGCGAGCGAGCGAGCGAGACAAAATCCTGCTGCCCACAGGAAATTAATAGGAAAATTCACCTGGCCTGCAACAAAAGCTGAGCCAGACAGGGGCGGGGAGTGCGAAACAGGGCACGATCGTTTCCTAGCAACGACGAGAACAAGGTTCCATCCTCCCGACAGAATAACACAGTGGCCACCAACTGCCCCTACGCGCATGCGTATTGCACTCCCCCTCTCCGTAGACTTGCTACAGAGCGGAGGCGCTTCCACCAATGCACACACGCTTCCGGGTTGCTTCTCCGTATACATCCGGGTTTTTGCTCATCCGGAAGCTTGGCGGGTAAGTGAAGGCGTGAGGTCGGTCAGAGGGAAAAGGGTACGAGGTTGCTGTCCTTTTTGCACCGCGATGCCCGAACTGAGCAGGGAGGCGGGGGAGCACCCACTCGCGTCTGCCTGAACTATGGGGCGCAGCGGCCGCCTCGCCAGGCAAGGAGAGCAGCTTCTCCTGGGTGCCGTCTCCTCCCGCCGTCCGCAGTGTTCTCACCTGGACTATCGTATGAGAGAGGCAAGGGTTGATTCGGATGCTGTAAGAGTATCGTCTTCGCAAGCAAGCAACAGCGAGGAGCGCTAGAGTAGTGGCACCTGTTTCTAAGGGGCCCGATCAGGATTCCTGAAGGGAACCCGATGCAAAAGGTCGCATGAGCTACTGCGAGGCAGGAAGAAAAGGGATGCGGGCAGCCAGCGTTTTCCGTCTTTCAGCGACGCACATCATGCCGAAGTTAAGGGCTCTGCGGTCCCTCTTTGATGGTCTGTTGAGCTGAGGCTTTTAAGAAGGGTTGTCCAGAGGAACATAGTGCTGCCATGTCACACGTGCTGCTTAAAGTGCCTTTTGGGGCTGCAGTCTATTCACACTTACCTGAGAGTAAGTAGAGTGGGACTTGTAATTCCCATGGACAAGATAGTCTTAGTTTCTGCTGTTGGCGAGTACGTGTAAGCCCTGAAATGCCATATTTAAATGCACGTCCACATTTTAAACTCATTTAATGGCTGTACTTGAAAAGTGAAATTACAGTGGCAGTTTAATTTTGTCATCCATGAAGAAGTGTATTCTGTCTGAAGCACAATCTAGTATATATACTCAGAAACAAGCCCTACTGAATTCAGTAGAAGCACTGAAGTTTTAACATCCTCCATGCATCATTTCCCTGTGTAGAGATGTGAAACACAAATGTATACGTTTACCTCTTGCCCTTATAGAAAAATGTCTTTTTAGTCACTAAGAGTGGTGCAATTCCTTTTTGTTTTTTCCTTCCTAATCTCCAGTGAAACAATTTTGAAATGTTTTATGAGGTTATAGAGTTGGAAGACTGTATGTGCCTCAGAAGCCAAGATATATAAGCTATGTTAGGAAGTTTACAAGAATTTCCCTGATAAACAAACATCCTCAAATTACATAAATATAGGGACAACAGTCTTTTTGTTAGTACTGTAGGAATTCTTTAATTGGAAAACCTGAAGTAGACCAAGGTACAGAGAATCCACACACATTTGTGGTCTAAGCTTCTCCAGCAACATGGCCAAATTGGTGACACATTTTGGTCCTTCTGAGAGAGAGTCTAAGTGGGAACTGAATTAGAATAGATGCTGTCATAATCCTTGTTCTTCAGCTCACAATTACTACAAGTTCCGTATTTCATATTGGCCACATGTAAAACAAGCTGTCAGATTAATAAAGCTGGAAAATATATCAAATCCCCACTCACAAATGCTTGCAAGCTCCTTAAAACTGTTGACAGTCTGAGATTATCTTGATGTATATTCCATATTCAGAACAGCTTAGTCTACTGATGGTGCTAAAACAATGTTGAAACAGTATAAGCTGCTAGTATAAATGTAACAGTTCACCTACTCTATACCTGAAAGAATGATTGAAGGACCTTGTTTTCCTATGTGTATGATGAGGAAGTTGATCAAGTGCTCTCTCTTAGAAACATATAAAAGAGAAACACCAAATTGCTTACTTTTGTACTCCAAAGTGAATTGTAACTCCATTTAAAATCTGGCTGTTTCAAAGCTGTATTCACTATTATTATTATTTTTATTATTATTATTATAACATTTCTATGCCGCCCCTTGCCGAAACCTCGGGGCGGCTTACAACATGATAAAATACATTGAAATACAATAGTACATAATAAATTACCATTAAATACAAAAATACAAAAAATACATTGGTTTACAAATATAAAATTAGAATTATCAGTATAAAATAAAAATATAGGAGGAGAAAGAGAAGGAAGAAGAAGTTGCCCTGGCCAGATCATATGTTTTAACAATTGAAATGATGTTTAAATAAAAAGGTCTTTACCTGGCGCCGAAAAACCAGTAACGACGGAGCCAGGCGGACCTCTTTGGGGAGTGAATTCCATAGGTTGGGCGCCACCGCAGAGAAAGCCCTCCTCCGGGTACTTACTCTCCTAATTTTTTTCATGGAGGGTTCCCGGAGAAGGGACTCTCCCGCAGATCTCAAAGGGCGGTCGGGCATATACGGACGTAAGCGCTCGTTCAGGTAGCCAGGACCCAAGCCGTTTAGGGCTTTATAGGTCATAATCAACACCTTGAATTGGGCCCGGGCTTCAATGGGAAGCCAGTGAAGCTGATGGAGGACTGGAGTCATGTGAGCATAACGCCCCGTCCCCGTCAGCAACCTGGCAGCTCTATTTTGCACCAATTGAAGTGTTCGGACTGTCTTCAGGGGAAGCCCCACGTAAAGCGCGTTACAGAAGTCTAGGCGGGAAGTCACCAGCGCGTGTGTCACCGTCGCCAGGCAGTCGTACTCCAGGTAGGGGCGCAGCTGATTAATCAGCCGAAGCTGAAGGAAGGCGTTCCTCGCTACCGCTGTCACCTGAGCTTCCAAAGAAAGCTCCGGGTCGAGGAGTACTCCTAAGCTGCGGACCTTATCCCTAAGAGGGAGTGTTGCACCATTCAGGACCAGGTCAAATCCACCCTCTCCGAAACCCGATCCGCCAACCAACAGGACCTCCGTCTTGTCTGGGTTGAGTTTCAGTTTATTGGCCCTCATCCATTCCCTTACCTCGGCCAAGCACCGGTTCAGCACAGCCACTGCCTCACCTGGATTAGTGGAGAATGAGAGGTAAAGCTGGGTATCATCAGCGTATTGATGATTCCGCAGCCCACACCTCCTGATGACCAATGACCCAAATCACTGTCAATCATTGGCCGCTTTGTATACTACTCATACTTATCCAATAGCATTGTGATTGGTGGTAACAAAATTGAAAGGATGCAGACCTACCACCCCTTCTACAAAAGCTTTATATAAACATCCTACAAGGTCAAGTGCCTTGACCAAGACAGCAGTGAGACCTGGTCAGAACTTCCTGCTGCTAGCACTCCCTACAGATTTGTGGTGGGAAGCCAGATGTCAGGGAGCATGGTCTCATCTCTGAAGACTCAAATATGCTTCCACAGAGCTGTGGTACAAACACACAGAATACTGTATATACTTCTGAAGCCCTACCTGAAATGATACAGTTGCTGAAAAGGGCAACTGAAATTATCAAAGAGCTAGAGCAGCTCTCCTGGAAGGAAAGGTTACAGCCTTTATGATTGTTTAGCTTAGAAAAAGGGCAAGTGAGGACTGATGTGAAGGGGCATGCAGAAAAAGTCGATGGGGAGACATTAGTGTGCCCGCAGTACTAGACTCAGTAAAGATGACTGGTGGGAGATTCAGGACTGGTAAAAGGAAGAACTTCACACAATGCATACTTAAGCTATGGAATTCACTTCTATAAGATACAGTGATGGCCACCAATTTGTATGGTTTTGAAAGGAAATTGAATAAATTCATGGAGCTGATTACCAGTGATGACTAGTCTGATGGTTGGTTGTATGTTACTTTCAGAGGCACTATGCTTATGTACAGCAGTTGCTAAGAACGTGGGGGGCGCTGTTATACTATGACCTGTTTGTGCATTTTCCTTACACACCTGAGCAAACACTGTGAACAGAATGCTGGACTACAAGCAGCTTTGGCCTGAACTAGAATGCTGCTTCTTATGTCAGGGACATGGACCTGCCCCTGCTTTTCCTTTGTGCTGGAAAGAGGTATGGAACACCTCCCTGCACTCCACTTGAGTGAGGCCTGCCACCTCATCCCCAGTGCTGTCGCTGATGTTACTAGCACAGCGGCTTGGACCTTGTCTGCTTTCTACCATGCAAGCAAATTCTATCTCCAAGCATACTTGCCAACTACCTCAGATCAGACATAGCAGCTGGAATGCCCTCTGGGGCTAAGTACCCCGGAGGAATTTCCAAGAGACCAGGTTACAGCTGTGGCTTAGAGTTTCTGCACTCCTGTCCTGCAGAGTTCATACAGAGATGTGACTACTGAAGTTTCTGAAGGAGAGAAGTCTACCCATCCTTCCAACACCCCACATTGATAGGCTTAATAACAGGCTGTAGTCCTGCCTCCTGAAGCAAAAGCATCAGGAGCTAAAGCAGGGGTGGGCAACTGTTACTTTCCCATGTTTTTTGGGACTGTACCTCTGAACAATCCTGGTCAGGATAGCCAATGGTGAGGGACGATGAGCGCTACAATTTGCTCACCCATTAGATCAGGGGACAAGGCTAGCACACCCTGAACTCTTCCCAGTGGAACTGCAAGCCTCATAGCCAACTGGATGCAAAATCTTTTGAGTCCAGCTAGAGTGAGATGGTATATCTCAAGTTGCTTTTATGTCCTGTTTTCATCAAATACTTGTGGATATTTGAAGCATAAAATGTTGCACAACCTTTAAGCAATTGGGCATCTTTCCTTTTAAAAGAAATGAATGTTCTGAATCTTAGCCGATATTTTTTTTCTAAGTGTGAAAGACAATTTCAATGCCGTTCCATTTTGTTCAGTGTTAAATTAGATTACACTATTAACCAGAATGTTTAAAGGTTTTTAGCTTATGGAATTCCACAGGTAGTGCAAGAATAATAGCTATAATATCTTTCACTATTAGTTACAGAAATGTCTGCCCCATCAATGAAGGAAAGGAAGGCTTGCTGGGGAGCCCGGGATGCATATTGGAAGTGTTTAGATGAAAATAAGGAAGATGAATCTATGTGTAAGAAGTTTAGATGTTCTTATGAAAATAGCTGTCCACAACAGTGGGTAAGTGACACTGATTTCTGCTATATTAATGTTTAAACTCATAAAATTGCACTAGATAAAATACAAGGCAACTAAATGTACTTCTCTGCTTCTGTCAGTATTATTTAATATAAACCCCACATACTTGCACAGCACTGATGGAGAAGGGGAATTGATCAAGGGTTCTTCTCGTTTCATTACACTAGAATTTTACTGTGTAAGTCTTGTTTCCTAATAAAGTAATCTTGTTCAAAACAGGTTAAATATTTTGATAGAAGAAGAGATTATTTAAAGTACAAAGCACAGCTGGAAGCAGGAGAATTTCAACCTTCAGAAACAACTGGGACGTCATAGCTATTCATCAGCTTTCACAAAAAGAAGCTTACAAAAGAAGATTACAAAAGACAACCAGCAGTGTGATACCAATGTTGTAGGTATCAGTAAAGGACATTGATGGGCCTATAAATAACTCTTAAGAACTTTATCTGGCACTGATGTGAAGGCTCCAGCTGCTGTATTCTTTAAATACATGATCATGTTGAGAGGGAACACCCATCCGGTCTCCCTCATCACTGAAAGGCTGCTACCAATAAATTATGAACAAGTATGCTTGTCAGCTCAAATGCTATCCTGTGAATTCATTACATTTTTGCCCCCCACTGTATTAATAGGGCTTTCAACATATGCCTTGATGTTCCTTCCTGACAGATAAAGCCAAAGACTGATGTTTATGCAGTACTTCCACCACATGCGTAGTATCAGGGGCTTATCAACTCAACAAAATCCCGAAATGAGTGCAGCGTGGCTCCCAGCTGGCCCCCAACTAGCCACCTTGCTGCTCCTCAGCCCTCTCGGTGGCACCAGCACATTCTCAGTGAACGTGATGCCAACCAAGACGTGGTGCAGCATTGCCAGCCCCGCACCAGTCCACTGTGAGTGGGATGCAGACCCCCCACGGGCGAGCAGGAAATCTCCCATGAACCAGCACCAGTCGATGGTGGTTGAACACTACTGATACAATCCTCTGAAGAGTATTACGAGATTGTTTTTTCAGCAATAGAAGAATTAAATAGCACTGAAAAACTAGTACTGAAATAACATTGTTTAATAAAGTCATAGTTTAAGGCATTTTACTTTCTTTATAAAAATGAAGGCATGCAGAATATAAATTGTGGCATTTAAATTACTCCTTGGATTTTACAGTGCTATCAGAAGAAGCACTTCAGCAAGAATGATGTCTTTATCTTTCCTTGTTTTCCTTGATGATCTGTTGCCTTGTATATTCCCAAATGAGTAGAGCTCCACTTACATGGACATTAAGGGATCGAATTACTCCCTGCTGAGGAATTTCTACACAAGTGTCCAACTGCTGAATCAGATTCGCAGGAATTCCTTCATGCTCATTTCTGATCAGAAAGAGATGAAAAAATGCATCACACTTAGCAGAGGGAGGTCATGGTTCTGTAGCAGAGCATGTGCTTTGTATGCCGAAGGTCCCAAGTAGAACAGACATTTCCAAATAAAATGAACTGGACAACAGAACCCTGCCTGAGACCTTGAAGAGGCAGTGATGGTACCACACTAGAAAGATCAGTGCATGGGTGCTGTGTAAAGCAGCTGCATGGGTTTTGACCCAGAAAACATGCAGCCCAGTGCTTGCTTACTTGCTCCAGTGCTGTCAGAGAGAGATGTAAGCAGCTGTTCATTTAAAAAGCAGCTTTGAGAGTGAACTGGCAGGGAACTGCTGCATGAGTACATTAATCTCTAGCCAAGAATATGTTTGCTATGCTCTGGTCCAAGCATTAGCATGGAGCACAAAACCTCTTTTTCTCCAACATGCTTTTCTGACTGGCATATCGCAAGCCCTTTTGCTAAGGTTTTGGACAGTATTGATTGGTCTATGGCAGGGGTCTCAAACTCAACTTACCTGGGGGCCTCTGGAAGTAGAGTCTGGGTGAGGTTGGGCTGCATCAAGTATTCCACCACCGCGGTGGTGGTGGGCCACTCATCCCGCATCGCTCCTGGAGGCCGGCCCGGGCGCTGCCGGCGCTTTGAAGGCCGCAGGGCCCCTCCCCTGTGCCCCACCCGTCCCAGCAATTGGCCCGCGGGCCACGAGTTTGAGACCCCTGGTCTATGGGATTGGAGGTATAAATGTTTTCCACATTATACTGCTTCTGTGTCAGGTCAGACATCTGGCCAAAGCAATCTGGCTTTTCCCCAGCAACATGGGGGTGCAGCTGACAGAAAGAGAAAAGTGTGGCCACACCCACTTTTGGTTGTGGCTCCACCCACTCCTGGAGTCCTCGACACAGAACGGTTACCCATTTTTGCTCAACAATAAACCAGAAAAACAAGTTTTTATTTTCATTTTCCCCCAATTGTGTGGTTATCAGCCTTCACAATGAAAAAGTGCATGGAAAACAGAGGAAGAAGGCTTTTCACTTACCCCAGCAGCAGCAGAGATTTCTCTGGAAATTGATATTCTGTGAGATCACAGCTTTTAGCTGTTTGTTCCACACCTATTATAGTGTAACCTTCAATTTTCTTCTGTTCTAAATAGTCAATCAGCTGAAATGGCTTCACCTGCACATTTTTTTTAAGAAAGGGAGGTTTGTATACATTTTAAAAAGATACAGTCTTCATTAATACCTTACAAAACAAGCATATCAAAGGAAACATGTCAGCTCAGAAAGGATCTTCTTTCTGTGTAAACATGGATAGGATTGCACTCTAAAAGGTTAATGTTAAGTAATCATGCAATTTTACAAATTCAATCAGATTCTATTCAATTTGGACAAAAGAAAACTACCAAATCAGGCTACATACCCATCTTGTTTAGCAACAAATCACCAAGAGTGGCCAGGCTGATGCTTCCAGAAAGCTCACAAGCAGGGTATGGAAGCACTAGCCTTCCCTCTTCTTCCCCAGCCTCACCAAAGCCACTGAGACATATCAAAGAGACATAAAACTACCTATCCTGGGCTGATCTGGATCCCTGGCTATTTAGGCCATCGACCTGTGCAGGCAGCAACTGCACTAGCTTTACACTAAGGTTAAGTTTAATACCAGCCAACACCAATTTATGAAAACAGAAGGCAGACCCTTGAGTTCTGCATAGCAAGTATGTTACATTTAATTGCTGCCTCTTTAAAACACTTTTTACTCACCTCAACAAGGGAAAGCCACTGTTCAGCAGAAACACTGAGGTACTGAAATTGCTTGTCCTTTATACAATGAAGACTGCCAACAATTAAAGCTGAAACCCCAAATATTTCGCATGTTCGGCACAAGCCTACAAAGAAACAGAGCACTTACATCACGCAGTCTACTCCAACAACTGAACAGTGTAAGGAGAGGCAATGGAAGGAGAGTCATAATGGCCCATGAATACACACATCTAGGCTATACACAGGCACTAGAACAACACTATTATCTTTGAGACCTTTAAATAAATATGAACATCCTATAACACAGTCCTGCAAACAACTAATAACACCAAGTAGCTATACTACAGTCAAGTGCACTAGGATATGCTATTAGCACAGCTGGAGAAAAGGAAGGAAAATGAAAGACACTTCCCTGGCCCGCAGAGCTTGATCATTAAAATGCAAGCACCTATTTCCCCTTTGAAATCCTTACAATATTTTCTAGATTGGATACAAAAATATATTTGTTACTTTTTAATACAAGCCACATTTAAAAAAAAATACAAACAGTTTCAAGTGGGAAACATCTTACCTCCCAAATTGGTGGGTTTATCAATGAGTGAAGCCACTACAATCAATTTACTGCTTGATTTACCAAGTTTAGTCCGATCTTGAAATTCAAGCTCAAGATCCAAATCAAGAGCACTGTCTTTCCAAGGGATAATTTTTTTTTGAACGTCTGTCCATTGTCTTTGGTTACCTGGCTCAGCTGAATTCAAACCTGAGAAAGATTGCTCAATTATTTGAATGCAATGCACCGTGCCTGCAAATCCAGGCATTTTAGGACTTAAATATTTTCAGACAAATACACTCTTCATTCTATTTAAAAATTTGTATTCCTAAATACAACATAGTTAACTTTTTAAAAATTTATTTTCACAACGTACAATAAAAAGAAAAAAGAAACATGTAAGAGAAAAAGGTGCCAAAGGTCAATCCACAGATATAGCATGTAATACTCAACATTTAAACACGTTTCATCCAAACCATTTAATTCTCAATCAAAATTGGTCTAGTCTATAAAATTAATTATAAATGATAACATTGCTTTGGTTGTAAAACATCAGTGATACTGCAACAATTAAATTTCTTTAACAATTAATTAAATCAAATTCTTTAAAAGATCTTCTATTAATATAATTAATTAATTTTGCCATTGTTGCATACTCAGCTTGCTTGTTTTTCCCATCTTCAACAGTTGGACAATCTTCAGCTTTCCCCTTTGAAGCAATTATCACTCTTGGTGCTGTTATCATATATTGAAATAAGTCTATCATAATCTTTGGAATAGTTTCTGGTATAATACTCAATAGCATATTCTTGGCATTCATAGGAAAATCAGTCTTAAGTATTTTCTATATTTCCATATGTATGTGCTTCCAGAATCTTTTAATTCTCTCACATGTCCACCACATATGGTAAAAAGTCCCATCTATCTCTTTACATTTCCAACATTTTCTGTTACAGCTCTTGTCTATTTTCAGTATATCTTTCGCAGTAATATACCACTGAAAGAACATCTTATACCAATTTTCTCTTAATGCTTGACTTTCAGTCAATTTTATATCCTTCGTCCATAAAGCTTTCCATTGATGGGACAGTATTTCCTCAAGATTCTGTATCCAGCTCTTCATATATGTTTTAACTTGTTGAGTCTCAGTTTCATATTTAAACAGTGGTTTCTAAATTTGTCCTAGGAAATGATCTCTTTGATATTATCCATCAGATTTCTTATTATGCCTTTTCCTGTTTGAGTTTCCTTTTTTAATCTTGAGGCCAGTTGGTGGTAGAAAGACCATTCTCTGTTTTTTCCTTCATCTTTTAGTTCTTGCCAAGACTTAATTTGTCCTTGTTGGTCAACCATGTCTCCATATGTTATAAAATCATTATTTTCCCTTGAGTGTTTTCCACAATATGCTTCTACTGGAGACATTAAAGGAGAAGGCCTAATTCTTCTCAAAGAATACCAAATTTTAACTAAACCGTCTATAGATACATCAGTATTATTTGGGGTCAATGCTTATTTGATACATTATTTAGTCCATAATTGTGCATTCCTTCTTTGAGATTTGCTATTTCCAATTTCACTAATCTTTCATCAAAATTAAAAATCCAGTCTGTAATCCAAACTAGGCCAGCCACATGGTAATATAGTTTAATGTTTGGTACTCTAAGGTCTTCTCTCTTTTCTCATCCTGTAGAAATTCAAATCTAAACCTTGGGTTTTTTCCCCCATTTCAGATATAGTTGAATATATTTTAGAATAACGGAATAATACACACAGCTTTTTAGCCAGCATGAATTAAATCCTGGAAGTGACTCCTCAGAGAATCAAAACATAAACTGCTTTTACCCATATCCTGCTGAGACCAGTCGCTTGGTTTTAAATCAAGAAGAGTCGTTTGAGAATAGTAGCATGGAAATGTTGAGCTGCGTGGAATGTCTGTGAATGCTGTAAACTTAGAGAGAGGGATCCATTCCTCTTCAGCAATTTCTGAAAGACGTGGGAGGGCATAAAATATTGTCTGAAAAATATTTTATAAAGTCAATTCCATTAAAAATGCCTGTGTGGAGTATTTGTATCTCATTTTTTCTAACGGAAATAAGCAAACATTTAAACCTCTCTCACTGCAATTTCCATGAGTTTAAGTCTGATTGACTTTAATATAAGGTAGACATAATTTAACCTTCTTTAATAGCTTAATGAACATTTATAAATTTATAAACTTTATAAATAAAGTTCCAAGCAAGTGGAGACTTGTTTGAATTCAGTGTTACATGAACAGAAGTCCATTTGTGCAATGGGACTTCCCTGTCCTCTCTTCAAGTGTCTCCTAAATCTTCTCTGGAGGGCTCCCTCGGTCCTCTAGAACAGATTTCAGGATCAAACTGTGATTTGCACAAATCAGCCCTTTCTGCAATTTTGTTAGAGCTGCATACTTTTCAAGTGCTTAATCGTGTGTATTTCATTAGCAGCTAAAAAACCCTACCATTCCTGGTTCATCTTAGAGATGGAAGTCCATGCATGAGGTGACTCAACTCGCATCACAGCAAGTTGATACCAGCACAGGGCTAATGGGGGGGGGGGGGGGGCCTGAATCATTAAAATCTGGCAGATTCCTATCATATTCCTCATACACCCCTAATCTCAGCATCCTTCATGGAAAAACCTGTTTTGTCTTCACAGTATCAAAAAAATGCAATTGAGGGTGTAGGGGGTTTTTTCAGTCCATGAAAGTTGCACAATTTAACAATTTAAATGCTTTTGTCTATTCTTTGCAGATGCCCACATACACACCTATAGCTATCCAGTATGTGAATTCTTGCCTAGTTAATTCCCTTGTCTATTTCTGCTGTCAAGAAGAATTCACGTAGGCTAATTAGCACACAATTCCCAGCTGTCATTTGGCTGCCCATCAACTGGAAATTACCATACATTAGAAAAAAGCAGGTAAGCAGGTACACTAAAAGGGGACAGTTATTGCACTGATTTCCCCTCTATTTACTTTCCAACACTTAAATTGGTGCAAATTTCCCCTTTGTTTACTTCCCAGGGATTATATTTATGTATCTTTCCCAGCCACTATATTTGCATCTATTTCCCATTAAAAAAAACTGCATTTCTCGGAATCATCATGGAATCACAGGAACAAAAGCAGTTAAGTGCTCTGAAAAAGAAACTTAAAAGGAGGAGGAGTTAAGATTGCCCCTTTCTGGAGTAGTTGCAAATTTGGAGAAGTGTTGAAAAGGATGAAAGCACTGCAAACTATCAGCCCAACATTTGAAAGCAAGACAATTACATTAAAAGTAATCCTGCCTCCACCTGCTTTTGCTGTTCTTTCTTTCTCCACTTTTTTGCCTTTTACTGGTACTTTTCCATTGACAACTATGCACTTGGTCCCTAGCAACCACACACACCATCTCGACTTGAATCAGAAAGCTGTAAGAGCATACATGTACCTGTGAAGGACCAACAAAAAGATAAAAGAAATCCAATTGTTTTTGGAGGCTCTGAAAAATCAGTTTTAAAGATGCAAAGAATATGTTGGTCCTTCGAAAGTAGCGCTTCAGCACTTCTGGAAGGGCCGTCACTAGTGAGACTGCAAAAGGGAGAAGCACAAGTTTTTGCTGCTTTTGATGCTCTGTAGCTGTTCATCAACAACCTATGATACGCTGCTGGGTTCAGATGACAACAATTCATCATGGATCGAACAACCTCTATACAAAGTCAAGAGATCTCATGGTGGCTTGTTCGTGAAAAATAAGCCAAACTGCAGAAGCTGCACCAGTTCTGGACAATAAAAACCACCACAGCTGGTTATTCATAGTGGATTGTCATGTCAAGTGAACCAGATGAGTGTATTCTTCTATATTATATTCAGGGTTCTGTGAAAACTTAAGATTCCACACAAGCACAGAATTTAGTATTGTGGATATGGAGTTTCTTGTTTAAAGCCAGTTTCTTGCTCTTATGGATGCAGAGGAAGCCTCAAAAGCATGTAATGCCTGATGCAATTTCAGAAGTGAGTCTCAGTAGGTTTTCAAAGATTTGTGAAGCAAGATTTAAGGAATCCATATAACTCCTCCAACAAAAGCAGACTGCTGCATTCTTTTACTTGCTTAACTGGGGAGCAAGTCCCATTAAACTCAATAGGAGTTTGCATAAGAGTAGAAATCTCTAAGATTGCCTTGCACATTATACCAACAAAGTATGTACCTAGAAAGTTAGGAAGGCTTTTGCCCAACAATTGTTATTTTTAACAGAGTGCACATGCCCCTAATTAGGCCTGACTGGAAATAACATACCTTGACATATTGGTAGTTCTGAAACAGATTTTAAAGCATTAGCTCTCTTTCTTAGAATTGCTACATAATTACGCCAACATTTTGGCATTATAGTGTTTCTTTGGAATGATCTAACATCTCATTATTTTGTCCTAACAAGCTCAGTTATCCATTTCCCTAAAAAGCTTGTGGCTGCTCCATTTATTTTATTTTTTTTTTTGCTCAGAATAGCCCTGTGAGACAGTGCATGCCCATGATCAGCTGATGACTCTTATAACTGAGTGGGGATCTGAAGCCTAAACTAGCCTAATATTCTATCAGCAGGGTTGTTTTTCTCATCGATATTAGTAAAAGATGTATCTAGGACAGCTTATTACAATAAATTCTGTACTTACTTCAAGACAGTAATCGTTAAGTGGATGGAAGTTTTCAAAGAAGAAATGTTTTTGGATCCGCTGCCAATTCTTTTTAGCATTCCTGCAGATTTTAAACATAGCGTTAAGATACATGACAAGAATAATTTTAAATAAAGCTTTACAAAGAAAGCAAATGGGAAGCTAACTCTTCTTTCCGTTATGATTTATATCAGTTCTCAAGCACTATACACAGAAGAAAAATTTCTTTTACACAAGGTGGGGTTCTCTCCAGTAATAGAGAAGCACATCTGCATATTCAGGAATCTGTGAATTTTTCAGTATTAGCTACAGACAAACAGCTCCACCCCCTGGACTACAACATGATTGCAAGTAGTATGCATAAAGATCCCAGCTCTTCTTTGTGCTGTAACTCTGAAAGAAAACTACATACTGTTTCCTCTTAATGGACTTTATAGATTTGCTAAATAACTCTGCATTGTCCATAGTCTGTGAATGACTAATATATTCAACAGTTTAAAAACAGTTTTTTAAGCATTTACACTTCTTGAAAAGTAGTGCATGGTTTGCATTTAGGACTTAGAGCAGAGAAGGCTGGAGGTACTCTTAGTACACCTTCATTACTTCTTGCAATAGAGCTAGTATTCAAAAGACCCCAATTCCCAGTTGGGCTTCTTTTGTTAAGAATCAATGTCTCTAATATTTATTCATAAAAGAAAAAGGATGTTAACTAAAATCTAACTTTTGTTTGCCAGCACTATGTCCATAGACCAATATAATGATCAAGCATCTATCATCTTAAAGAAATGAGATGGAAAATGGATTGTGCTAATATTAATGTGCTTTACATTTCACATTCTGAGGCTGCATTCTTTCATACACAACATTCTGTGCTGCAGAGTTTGAACAAGACTCTTCTACTTCAACTGTTAACATAAAATAAAAAATGGTTCTTAGAAAAATATCATATTTCTCTAAGACATGAGTAACCTACATATTTATATTTATAGCCTTCCTTTTTTTAAGGGCTCAAGGCAAGTTAAAATATGACACAGTGCAATATACTGACCAGATTAAGACCCTTCCCCAAAGCACTTACAGTTCACGACTGCAATTCAAAACTAATCCAAAATCTGTATTAGTGTAATATCTTTATTAGGCCAACCAAAGTGTCACAAGACTTTAACAGCTCCAGGTCTCTACATGTTACAAAACTGAGGTGTGTGTGTGAAAAGGTCAACAATTTTCTAAGTATAATTACTTCAGAATTAAGATGCAGTGAAATGCATGGGGCTTTCCCCAGATCAGAGTACATACACTTGGGATGGCATTGTAATTTTTTTAAATTTACAATAAACACACAACAAAACAGTAAAATAGAAGCTCTATTATTCAGGAGAAACTCCTTTACCTAAATACTTACTACCTACAATATTTAGTTAACTACTCCACCCTCCCTGAGACATACAGCCATGTTTTAACCCAATATTCCCAATCAATCTAACCTCACTGTTTCTAAAAATGGAACCAAGTGTCACACTATTGGTCTCTTCCTAACCCACCAGAACCTTATATCCCTCCAATCCAGAATAAGGAGAAGGGGTAAAGCTAAAGAGCATTGCACAACTATTTAACTCCCTTTGACTTTTTCATGTTTTGTAGGTGCAACCTGTAACTGGCATCACTGCCATTTGATGTACACAAGCTACTCAACAGGGTTTCCTCTATAATTGCCCTGTATTTTACTCCATCCATCATGATCTCAATCCTGACTCATCTCCTAGTCCCTGCCAAGGAAAAGCATTCCCACAGCATGATGCAACCACTACCATGCTTCATGGGGAAGGTGATCTCAGAGCAATAAGCACTGTTGGCTTTGAACTGCACATAGCATTTTGAAGGAAGGCCTAAACATTCAATTTTGGTCTCATCAGACCAGAGGAACATTTCTTACATGTCCCATGTGCCTTTTTACAAACTCTACCCAGGGGTTAATATGGATTTGTTTCAACAATGTTTCATCTCACCACTCCACAGTTTGTGGAACAACCAGATGATACTAGTGCCACAGATGGCTTCTCTCACATCACCTGCAGATATCTCCAGCTCCTTCAGAGTTACCATTGGCCTCCTGGTTGCTTCTTTAGCTGATATCCAACTTACCAAGTCCCTGAGCTTTGGCAGATGGACTTCTTTAGATACAGCTGAGGCTGAGCAATATTCTTTCAGCCAATATGCTGAGGCTAATAATAGATGTGATGCTGCTTCAGATGTTTATAGTTTGGGGATGTTTCTTACAACCCTACCCTGACTGGTATTTCTGCAGAACTTTATTTTTAGGGGTTTTTTATGGTTCCTTTGTCTTCATTTTGCTGTTTGTTAAATTTTGCTCTTCAATAAGCTCTGCAGCCTTCCAGAAAGAGGTCTACTATTCAATTTGAAATCATGTGGCACTGGAATTGCACACAGGTGGACTCCACATAAGTACTTCCAGTACTCTGGAGACTGGGGTTGTACCAGAATTAATTTAGGCATGTCACAGTGAGGGAGGTGAATACTTATGCATCCAGCAAGTGCCAGTTTGTTTTTGTTTGCTTAACTTTTGTGCCACTTTAATATTTTGCACCTTTGCAATACTAAGTATCTTGCGTACATCAAGTGGTAACCATGTCAATTAAACCAATTTCCATTCCTAGTTATAGCACAATAAAATATGGAAAAGTCAAAGGGGAATCCTCTTCAAGTAAGTAGAATATGTCAGTCTATTACAGTGCAACAGTAATTCCATGGACCAAGTATGGTCCATTCCATTAATCATTACGCTTCTGAAATCTCCAAACAACTTTAGTGTTTTCAGTTAGGAATGGAAATTGGCTTAATTTGACTCATTTTGAAATCTTCCAATTTGTTCAGATAATCCACCAAAGCGAGAGAAATAATAATGTCAATTAAACCAATTTCCATTCCTAGTTATAGCACAATAAAATATGGAAAAGTCAAAGGGGAATCCTCTTCAAGTAAGTAGAATATGTCAGTCTATTACAGTGCAACAGTAATTCCATGGACCAAGTATGGTCCATTCCATTAATCATTACGCTTCTGAAATCTCCAAACAACTTTAGTGTTTTCAGTTAGGAATGGAAATTGGCTTAATTTGACTCATTTTGAAATCTTCCAATTTGTTCAGATAATCCACCAAAGCGAGAGAAATAATAAAGTGGTCCTACAGAAGTTAAGTAGTCTACGAAGTTAATAGAATCATTAGATTTATGATGGTCCAAAAGTAAGAACCATGTTTTAAATAAATATGAATCACTCACCCTGTTCCATGCATGCTTTCTGCTTGATTAAGACTACTTTCGATAACTGGAGCTAAAGTTTCAAAATCATTCATGCATGATGCTTTACACATCCCCCAAATTTTCTTGAGAGCCATTAAAGCATAAAGTCGGACACTGAAATTGTGATGGAAACACCATTTTAGGACAACAACTAGGGCTTTCTTCAATGCTGGTGCCTAGAGAAAGAAAGGTATTCTTTAGTTCATAATTCTGAGTCTCTAAGTTAGTGATTCAGCAATTGTATAAACTGGGTTTGCACATCACAACCTGACATGCCATATTGTCCAAACCCTGACCAGTTTCCATGGAAAGGATTAATTTGGGGGAAGAAGTCACCCTGACAATTCACAGCTTGTTCTAGGGGTCTTGTACTGTCTGAACCCAGGAGAGCAATTTTATTGTGGGTTGCCTCAATTATCTACAAAGCTGCTTGCTGGCTAACTCTAGATGTTCTCCGTGATCTCAGCAGTGCCATCTCCAGTCTCTTCCACCACTTACTGCCCCTCCACCAATGATCAAACATTACTCTGGAAGGACTGTCACTTGTCTGCCATGTTTAGGAAAAAAAATCAATCCCAGAAAATAGTGTGAAAGTCTTTTTAATTTCTGTTGTTTTTGTTCTTGTTGTGCACTGTTTCCAAGTGCAAGTTTATGGTTCATCAGTATGTGCTGTCCTATCTTGTCAATGTCCTTGTAAGTTTGAGCTGTCAAAGGGAGTGAAATGCAATAGGTAACATGCAAGGAAGCTGACAAGATGACTCTGAATAGTGATACAATTGCCTCAGGAAAGTAATACCAAGCGAGAGGGGAGAACAGGAAAAGTAGATGAGCCAAAAAAAGGCTGGAGGGATGCACTATCTCTCCGTGCACAAGTTAATTCTCTCACTTTTAAGTGCTGAACCAACACTTGCCATTACACTGCTTCTACTCAACACTTCCCTGAGTCTCCAGCAAATGGAAGAATAGGTTATACTGGCTCCCTGCCTTTTCACAGCTCCCCTTAAGTTGCACAAAATTCACCTTTTACTTGTAAGTCTTTACATTTGGATCAATTTCCAATCCAATACTTCGCTGTCTTTAAAATTGCACAAATATTTCAAACAATTTAGAAAAAATACTGTATAAGAAAGCAGCAAAAGGGAGATAGGGAGCAAGTATCTCCTCTTTTTTTGTCTTGCTGGAGGCTCAGAGAACTCTCAGTTCAACAGCTGAAGGTGAAAGGATTGTCTGGTTCTTACCAAGTATGCACAAATTTTCCTATATTCCTATATGCTGTCTCCCCACGCTAATTTTCTTGTTTGTTACCAACTGTACTTTGCTCCCTTTGACTGATGAAACTTAGGAGGACAACGACAAAGCAAGACTACTTATATGGAACAGCCATAAACCTTCACATTCAAAATTCAAAGAAGTTGAGTCTATAAAGTTGAGTCACTAGTTGAGTCACTAGTTGAGTCACTAGTCATATGGCTACAGGCTATTTCCAGGATCAGGAACAGCATGCCTTTGAATAACAGATACTGGGAAACAAGGGGAAGGGCTATTGTCCTCATATCCTGCTTGTAGACGTCTCATATTCATGTGACACTCGTGGAATGTTGAACTAGGCAGGTCAGGGGCAGGCTCCCATTGGCCCTCCAGATGTTCTGGCTTAGTATTGACATTCTTCACCATTGACTATACTGGCTACGGACGATGAAGTTGCAAGACAAACCATCTAAAGGGCCACATGTTGCTCAACCTAGATATAGGCCTTAGATTTGATGGGAAACATCTCTTTCCATGTTTGATAAATTTGAGGGGGCTTCACAGGCAGCCTCACATACAGCCTATGGCAGCAATCTCAGACTGCTATTAGGATGGGGATGGTAGATTTTAAAAAAAATACCTACACAATTTCTCAGCTTCAACCGAGTACCTACCTTTTCACATGTATCTTGCAGAATTATGTCAAAATGTGACAGCACTGCTAAAAATGTGCAAATGCTAGTTTTAAGATGGTCTTCACCCTGAAAAATAATCCACATTAATAGCAAGATTTCTCAATCCATATAGTTCCTTACATTTTAGCTATACTTTCCAATCAGACTGACACCTAGGCAAAAGTCAATCATCTGTTCCAAATGATTACTCTATAAAACTCTATTATTATAGATATTGCCAGTGGCAATGTTAGGACACATGTCATCTAGAGCAATCTGTATAAGCAAAAGAAAATAGTTGCATTACTTGAACACAAAATAAAAGCAATTATCTTGGGTGAAAACTGTGCAAGTAAAAGCACTCTATATATGCATTCAAATGTCATTATTATTTACTCACATAGTCAAAGCAATCCCAAAATTTTGGGAAAAATTGGGGAAATTTATGTAGGATCAAGATGATATTCCATTCTATTAAATACTTCACAGATGCTTGATTGTTGCTATGTGCAGCCTGAAGAATTCTGTCAATAGTTCTTGTTAAAATATCCTAAACAAAATATGAGGCATCGGATTGACTGTACTTTGCAAAGCTTCTTCAATATACACAAATTTTCTTCCTCAGATTCACAAAAAATAAATACATTTATTTTCTAATAATTATTTGAACCAAGTGCAACATTAGAACATGACATTTCCATGTGATCTAATTTAGGGTTTCTGACCTAAATGTAAACTTTCTTCTCTAGGTAATCTCATTTGTATCCTATGCTAAAACAAAAATGACTGACATTAAGAGAAGCAAATATGGTAGAATAGCTTTTATTAAGTGTCTACAAAGCTAAGACAGGTCCGAATCTGCTCAGCCACAATGTTCACCATATATAAGCTAGCTCTCAACCTTATCTGGTACACAAAAACCAGATCCACACATTCTGGAAGAAATTCCTGGGTTGTCAAACTGAGGAATTACAGGAATAAACAGAACACATGAACCAAACCCACTTATGATAAATATCTAGGAGCACCCAGTTCCTGGGTTAATTAAAAACAGAAACAGCAAGTGCACATCTCACACAGTCCCATAAGTTCCCACACTTTCTGGGTTGAACAACCCAGGAATTGCTGCCATATTCTGCCTGTTGACCCCAGAGGGATTAAACAGATTAGACAGACAAGCAGTGTGGGTTAACTGCTCAGTGGAACTGGCAGGATATAAGCAAATCAGCAGGTTCATAAGTGCTTTATTGGCTTCTGCCCATTATCTATTAATACATACCTAGAATGTCTGCAGAATTCACCAAAAAGCTCCATTTTGCTTTTCAAATTACAGGCACTCAGCCACCTGAGCTTGCTACTAGAAGGAATGCTTGCTAAAAAGAACATTTTCATACTTGCGGTGGCATGTGCTTCCACAGCCAGTAATGCTCTTTTAATTATAAACTTCCTTTCAAAAGTACTAAATTCTGTGCAAGACAGTACCTCATGAAGTTTTGGAAACATCACCAACAACGTCTGCCACAGTCGATTTTTAATTCTGTGTTGTAAAGAGTTCACATAATAGCGATTTTTTGTTTTGGACATGAATTCAGCCTGCAGTGAATGTAACACTGATGATGAATATTATGATAGTTTTGGTTAAAAAAAAATCATACTCTGCTTTTTCCTCCACAGTGAAGATTACCATCAATTAAAACACCCAGACATTCTATTTTGTTAAAATGGGGCTGAAACAGTACGCAAGCTTTCCTTTCAGAAATGATGCCAGTCATGTTAAACTAGATTTTAATTTTACAGAAATTCTGAAGCCATTAAAAAACTTTTACAACCAAAAACTGAGAATTTTGATGTGCATACATAATCAGCATGAAATGCTTACAGAGTGATCCTAAGCCCCAGACCCTTGGCTAGATGGTGTTACCATGGGGATGAAATGTCGCTGCCACTGTGTAGGGCTCACAGCTACCCCAGTGGTTCCTAGTATGCCTGCTGAATATGGTTGCCACTTCCACTGGTAACAGGTCCCAAAATAGAGGGAGGTTAGGACAGGGGTAGATCAGTCCCATGCACCTACCTATTTCTGCTCCCCTTGAAAAATGGAAGGAATTAAAAAAACATTTATCAGCCTATAAATCAATGCACTATTGAACATATTTAAGGAATTTACAGAGAAATCCAACATATTTTTGCTCAGAGGTAAGATCCAATCTGTTTAATAGAGCTTACTCCTAGAGCAATAAAGAAAAACTTGGTTTGCAAGAACTTACCAGCTGAAAAACTGATGTTCTCAGAGCCATGCACATATGACTTCTACTTTAGCACACAACTACAATTGGCTGCTTTATAGTTGCACAATATGATGTGTTACATCAGACTGTGGGCTTGTTCAGAGGCTAAACAACCCATGGTTAACCTATGCTCTCTAAACCATCAGTGGCCCGGGTTCAGACAACTACAACCCCATGAACAAACTTACTGTGGGTTGTGTACTCAAGTGGAAGAAGCAGGAGAACTGGAGACAGCACTCCTGCTCATTTAAACCATTGGGTTGTCATTGTGAACAAACCGCCTCACAGTATGTCACAATCTTTGAGGGTAGAAGTGAAAAAGTCAGTCACCTGGGTGGGGGCTTGGACAAAAGAAAAATGAATATAGGGTAATTGCTATGCAAATTTCTAGCTTTATAAATTGTTATTATAACAAAACATGCACAGTACTAACCAGCAAGATCTTCTGTGGGAAAAACAGTCTAGCAAAAGGGTCCATTTTTGAACACCAAAAGGCCACAGGCAATAAAGAATAGAGGCTTCCTAAACCATAACAACCAGTGCAGTCCAATTATCAAAGCCTAGATATCCAGTATCCATGAAATACCATAAATAATTCTCACTTTATCAAGCAGTTTCATGACAAAGTCTTCTATAAACTTCTTGTGCAGTGTATTCAATTCATCTAGCAAGCAGAGAAATTTGATGGCACAAACTCTCACATAATGGTCATCTCTGTTTGTACTGTAATACAGAGTAATCAGATATGAGAATTAGATATTAGAATGTTTTCTGTAATGGTATAACATTAAAATTTGGACCTGTAATCCTCTATACCAGTGATGGCGAACCTATGGCATGGGTGCCCAAAGGGGCACACAGCGCCCTCTCTGTCGGCACGGGATTGCCCCAGCAGCCATGCGCATATTCAGAAGGATTAAGGGCGCCAGGCAATGACATCACTCATTAGCCACAATTCGCTGAGCTTTCGCATGGAAGCTCTGGACTGTGATTTCACCGGGATGCAGGTGGCGCAGTGGTTTAAACTGCTGTGCTGCTGGGCTGGTTGATTGAAAGGTCGTCAGTTCGAGTCTTCACCACCCGTTGTGATTTTAGCAGAATTTAGGAAATACACTCAGATGCCTTTTTCAGGGCCAGCCAAAAGCTGGTGGTCAGTGGAATGTTGCCCCCTTTTGCTGGTGGTCAGCAAATTTAGGTTTTATTGCAGTGTTGGCATTTTGCGATAAATAAGTGGATTCTGAGTTTCAGTTTGGGCACTCAGTCTCTAAAAGGTTTGCCATCACTGCTCTATACCCTCACATGGGCACAAGTCTCATTGAACTTCATGGCACATACTTTTGAGGAAACATTCATAACTCTAACATTGTATAAACAAGAGTGTTGCAAAAACAACTGTGCATCTGAGGTTGTTTCATGCAGAGGGTTTTTTGGCTATAGCAGGAATATCAACTCAGTTCAATGAATGGGTCAATACCAAATTATGTATTTTCACATACATTAATATAGCCATACAGTCAATAAAAGAATATTTATTAACATAATAAAAGCTGAACATTTACAAAAAAAAGTCCTGGGGAGAATGCTATGAAAACAGAATGCTATGAAAGAAAACAGATTAAAATTACTATTAACTATTACAAACAAAATAACTAAATACTGACCTTTCTGTAACAACATTTGCTGCACATTCATCTCCGAGATTTTGTACAAATGCACATACTTCCTGAATGAGTCTTGATATTAATATGCATTTAAGTAGTGAAGAAAAAGAAAACAGAAAATGAAGTATTTTTAAATGTTCCAGTATTATTTATTTACTAGATCCTAAGCTATTAGGCCAGGCAATTCCACAGCAAGTACTGTCTATATGTAACACAAAAGTGACTTGAGTTTCTTTTCTTTTTACCTTTGATCACGCCTGAAAACAGTTCCAAACAAACATCCTTCTATGAGGAGTTCACTGTAATTGCTTGCATTTGAAAAGGCTTTTTCAACCTCACTTGAGTCATCAGAAGTAGGATGTATCCAAGACTGACAGCAATAACTCAACAGCACATTAAAGACTCCAGTCCTTGTAGAGGACATTTCGATCATCTGAAATATGATCTAAGAGAGGGGATGAAAATCACGGACTTCCACAATGATAACACAGATTTGTACCTGAACTGATGGAGCTGATTCCCTTGGTTTGTTTTTTAATTTATTAAATCCCTCATAAAAAAAATTCTCTAGGCAGTGTAAGCCTCCCCCTCCAACTTCCCTTTCTGTGCTCCTCCGCCTCCCAAATCTGCTCAGCATTGGATGTCCCAGTCTAATATAGACTTCAGGAAAGTGCTGGGTGGAGGGGGAAAAGGTGAAAGCTTCTTGCATGAATAGAAGACTGCTTGTACAACCCAGGATGTCACTCACACACCCTTTAATATGTGTTTAAAATATGCAACACCTGTTTCAGAGCGGGTAACTCGGTCCTTTTCCAATACTGGATTACTATAAAAGCTTGAATTTTGCATTTCACGGTTTGAATTACATTCTGATGCATTACAGTTTCATCAATATTCTGATTATGCTTTCCCTTCACTAACAGATTATGTCCTGATTTTATTGAGTAATGTGACTCCTGGGTCATTACAAAAGATAAATGTATATGTCAGGAGTTCATCCACACTGGATGGGTTCACTCTATATTGCTGGTGCACGCCTACAGAAAGAATTTCTTTTTATAAAATTACTTTGCTGCTGTTGCTTGTCTCAGTCAGACAACAAACTAAGGGAATTAAGTGTAGCAAAAACCATAATCTTGACAAATATATTCTGGCATAAGCTTTTATGCAACATAGAAGAATGTTTTGTTTTATAGTCAAATAGATTTGTGAAGATGCTACAAAAAGATTGTTCTAATTAACTACAGTTTCTCATTTCGTCCAAACAGACAAATGGTTTTCCAGGTTCTGAACAACTATGCTTTAATATTCCTAGTTCCTGGTAAATTAAGAGCACTTGATTTAATCACATCTCAGGGAGAAGCAACAGTGCTGTATGAGTGGGCAAAATACTTGGATAATAAGCTCATATGAATGTATCCACCAAGAATAAAGACCTAGGGAAAGAACCAGTGGTTTAAAACATTTTACCTCTTTTATTTTTGTGTAAGCTTGGCTCTTGCTCTTTGCTGCAGCAGCAAGGACTTCAGGATCAAACACAAACTGAACAAAAGCTTTTAAATTAGGCCAAAAGATCAGCTGTGTGTTGCTAAGAGAAAATATAATTTTCCATGCTAAATCAAAAGTCTCTATGCACAGAGATTCAGCAGATTCTAGGAGCTGAAGAAAAAGCAAGAAAAATAGCATTCAGCATCCGAGGGGCAAGAAACAAACCTCATAAAGCTTTGTATCGCTTTAAGCTTTAAACTACTTACCTTGGAAATGAGTATTTGCATGCAACGAAACACAGGTAAAACATGGTCAGAAGGAAGAATCATTATTGCTTCCAGGGCAGATTGTAAAGTTCTTGTGCACTTTTGAATAGAAAAAAATTGTTCCAGACTTTTGCCCTTAGAAACGTTTTGATAATTGTTGAGAGTAAAATGGAGACAAACCCACTGATCGCGTATGTAACGTGCTACAATTTTCCCCCATCCTTGATGAGATGCTTGCTCCTCAAGGGAACTATGAAAGTTAAAAAAAAAACCCCACTTTTAGTTCATCTTAAAAATGATGATTTCTTTAAGCAGATAAGGTGACTGTATTTTCAAAAAATAGCCTAAATCAACATCTAATTGTATATCATAAGTTAATTATAAATTAAATTAAAATCAAATAGAAACAGGCATATACTTCACTGGCAATATAATTCTATAGACATATATTGGAAACACTTGCAAGTAAGTGTGCTTATGAGCACAGGGTTAATTAAACCCTAAAGTCATTACCTTCTAAGAAATTAGATAACAGGAGCATACCAGGAACTGGAAAGTCAAAGGATTAAAAAAATCCTGAAAGATATTCTGCATGTTTTGAGCAAGCGAGTAGTAATATTATATTATTTCAGTACAACTAAAGATCTGAATCTATGGGATTGACAAATATACCTATTTGTTTCCATACTGCAAGGCTTCTTTAATACATGGTTAAGTTTTGCACAGGAAAAAGCTGTTTTTAAGGTGTCAACAGCTGGCAGAGATTCAAGCTGAAGTTCTGGCTTCTCATCAATAATTTCACAAACCGCACAGAGTGAAGCCATGCTCACTACCTTCTGAATCTGATCCCCAACTTTTACCTCCTGAAAATGAAGATATAACAGTAATTTCAATTTTTAAAGCCTATTATAATGTTCTCTAATATGTTATTTAAATATCAAAAGCTATCAAAAATCTTCCCACTAGTCTGAGTGCAGACAAAGTTCTGTTATGTGTACAGGGCTAGATCTTAGACATAGACCCCTGAAATCAGTGACACTTAAGCACAGTTAACATGCATTCAATGGTCCACTCCAAGTATGACGAAGTATCGATCCATTCCAATATTTCTGGCATTAGAGTCAGGTTAAAACTATGCATGGAACGCATTCCTAAAAAAAAGATGTAAATTATCTGGGTATCACTGAACTGTCCAGCATTGAGTGTCCTCACCCTAATCTCACAGATTGTTTCAATCCATCAATGTACTTCGCATTTTCACATCTCCTGCCCAGACTCCAATATCAAACTTCATAGCCAGTGCACATGCATGCATTACATTCTCTTAGCTGCACACAGATATTTTATGCTGGTATGGATCCATACAGCTACTACTTGCTATGCCACAAAAATGGGAATATGGACCCAGTTTTGATTGTATGCTATTTCCAGAATGAACTGGAAAACATTAATTTAGTAAATATATTTGCATCTAACAGGCCATTTCTTGCCTGATTTTCTACTATAAAGAGAGCAGTGTCACATTACCATTCAACCCAGACTTCATGAAGCTCAATGTTTATTAATACTTCAAAATAGCATGAAGAACTGGTTTTGGCATAAATATTTGTGTTATACATAAGCATTATGATTCAAGTTTCTATTTTGGGACTTTCAAAATTACCTCTTCACTACCCCTCCTTTGCAGATTACAGAGAGAGGCATTTATTAGAGAGGAGATGAAGCTGCAGTTAGATGGTCCCCTTTTCTGAACATTGGTTGAGCAGAAGTTCATAAATTCTGACAACACTTCTAGATATAAATCACAGCGCTGCAGATCTACGATCTAAAATAAAGTGGTGAGTTATTAAAGGTTGCCATTTTAAGAAATCTAGATGAAAAGGCTTACACAAAAGTTACTTTAAAATGTAAGACTGTAAAAGTAAGTGAAAATATTCAGACCACAATCCAGAAAGCTAGCTAATACAAGCCACATTTGGGTAAACAAAGTAAGTTCCATGGTTCACTGGATGCAGGTTTCGTCATTCTTCTTCTGCAGGGAGATCCTGATAGGCATTAACAGATTCCTGATGTCCCCCATCTCCCTTTTTGGCTCATATGCACAAATGTGCAGGCAAGTAACATGCTAACTATTCCAAGGATTGGGAGATCAGTATGGACATCCTATATCCCACAGATTCCTTCCTTTTCACTCCAGTTACACAAGCTCCAGAGTTCCCATAGCTTAATACAGACAAATGCCACATTACCCTAACTATTGCAATAGCTCAACATCCGACATTGTATTAGTCTACAGTTGTTTTCTCCTTAATAACTTGTCATCCAAGACAAATTACACAAATGATTGTCTGTGAATTAGTTTGCCTCTCCCCAAACACAGCATCATTGAAGCCAATTAATCAGAAATAACTGATAGATAAAATAAACCAAACTCTAACCATTTGGGATAAAATATTGTACACAACTAAAAGAGAATTATAAATTATCTGGTTTGATAAATGTCTACCAACAATCATAAAAAGCATTTCTCTTTCAAATAATTTCCTGAACATTATGTTGAAGAAAAACTAGTTTTGCTGTTACAAGTTGTCAAATCATCTCCAACTCAGGGCAACAGTATGACTGAATGTTCTTCAAAAGGTCCTGTCCATGTCAGCCCTGCTCAGCTCTTGTAAACTCAAGGATTTTGCTTCCTTCATGGAATTAATCCATCTCATAGTTGGTCTTCCTTTTTTCCTTCTGCCTTCGACTTACTCTAGCATTACTCCCTTCTACAGTGAGTTTTGCCCCCTCATGAGGAGTCCAAAGTACAACAGCTTCAGTTTTGTCATTTTTGCTTCCATTCCAAACTAGACCATTCCACATTATTTCCACCTTTCTGTATAAGAATAAACATAACTGCCACAGCAGTGTATGCTGTAAATACTTACAGTATCTAATTCATTTGCTGTAAGTTTTCTGAGGAGAAAATCCAAAATACTTTCTGTGGCAGGCAAAAATGAATTCTGGAGAAACATTATTACCCCATCTGTTCAAAAATACATTATAATAAAGTGGTCAAACTTACATACTGCTCCCAAAATTAAATGATACAAATTTGATTCAGCACGACACACTAACAGTGACCACAGTTAAAGCATACAACTGGGTAAGTTGTGGAAAATAGAAACTGAAGCCAAATCTTACTGGGTGGAATCCAGTTAGAATGCCTCATCAAAAGGTCCCATTAGTGGAAGAGGGAAACGGGTAATTCCCCGGTGGCCTAGCCTCCGATTCCATACAGTGGGAATCACCCCCTTCCCACTGGACTGAGTAAAGCCATCTGTCAGCTGAAGTACACTAGCTGGATTTCACCCCTAACCCCCAAATGCACTGTTTTACATAAATAGTAAAAAACATTATTCATCATTCCAAGTGTCTAGTATTCTAAAGAGCAGCTCTTGGGAGCAATTTTAACTGCCAGAAGTAAAAATAAAATGTTGCTTACAAAACAATCATATTTTTCACATATACCTTCTATGCAAAAACAAAAATGAGTATGATATGATAAAACGGGCTACAATATTCTTTGGAATATATGCTTTTCCTTTCCAGCTATCAAAGTTCTTTCTGTATTCAGATATTTCTTAAGGATATTTTAATCCCTTGTAAGATGATTTTGGAAGATCTTTGAAGACATAGTACCACTTACCTGAACATGAACTACAATTACTTGTTAACAGAGACTGTGTTGTTCACTATTACTTTGTTGCACCAGAGAGAGGAGTAAGATTGATAAAAGCAAGAAACTGAAGATGCCACTAACCAACTTGAGGTCTAGAACATCTGACTGAACAAAGCTGCAGGAGCTTCAATAGCAGATGTAGGCTTTTATCGGCTTTCAGTGATGAGATATAGGGATTAGTGCCAAGTTTCAGCAAAATATCCAACAGAGGGTTTAGAAGACGCTTTAGCTCAATCCGTTCTGTGCAGCCATTGCCACTAGACAAAAGAAACTTTAAACAATGAGGAAAACATATTCTGTTTCTTCTGCAACTTAAGAACCTTAAGAGTTTTAATATTGAATTGCATTATTGTATTTTATTAAGTGCAGCCAGAGTGGGTTGTCAATTTATTTACCCTGTTAGCCGTCAAGAGACGTTAGTAATTGGACGGCATACAAATTTCATAAATAAATAAATACACCTAAGAAGAGCCATTGTAGATCAGACCCAGGTTCTCTCTAGTCCAATATTCCAATCACGCAGTGGCCAAGCAGCTGCCCATGATGCACCCACAAGCTGGGTATGAGGGTAACAGCACCCATCTGCTCATGTTCCCCAGCAACCTGTGCAGACAGGCATGCCACCTCTGATACAATTGGTAGTGCAGGATAGTTGCCATTGATAGCCTTATCTGCCTTTAATTATTCAACCCTTTTAAAAAGCCAAACTTCAAGGTAAATAAGGTACAGGAGGTGGCAAATTTCTCTCACTGAAGTTACATTTAGACGTTGCACACTATAGAAAGCAAGAGAAAGCACCAACGTGGCACGATTTCAAGAAAGAATAGTTCAAACCTTTGCACGACCGAACACATTTGCCAATGTACAGACAGGCAAAAGGGTATATTCATGTGTTTTTCAAATAGCTGAACACAGTTTGAAAGATGGATTATTGCTCTTAAGTTTTTGAAAGCCTGCAAAGCCTATTCCATCAAGGCGGGAGACTGGCAAAAGAAATGCACACAATATGTGCACTAGCACACACTTTCAATTGTCTTAAACCTACAGCCCGCGTACAAACAACTTTCTCAACTGGCAAAATGTCAGGAAACCACCAACCTATAGACAAGTAAAAGCATTCTGAACTCAAAGCAGCAATCCCTGAAACCACTTCCCCTGCAAATGGCCCTTTATCTCAGTACATCTCTTTGCAAAGTGATAAAAGATGTGAATAAGGAGATCCACAAAACATTGAAGCAAGCGTGCCCATGTTTAAGTCAATTTATGAGCTGCCTTCTATCAAATCAGACCAAAGATTCATTTACCCCGATCTTCAACTCTTTCCTATCCATAATGCCTTAAAAATGAGGTTTTCATCTGAGACTGTTTATTATAAACATGATTTACATTATCCCACGTAAGCCTAACTCCCCCCTGGACTTTATTTTATAGAGCTAATAAAGCAAAGTCTGCTCAAGTAGTTGTGGACTGTATCCTAAGATAAATGCAACAGAAACACATTCATGCATGCATATCCATGAAATTGTCTCTCATTTAGCCAAAAAACCAAGATCCACTAAGACGCTGTAGCCCCTATCTCACAAGAAGAACTTCACTGCAAGGGGGAAGCAAAGCTGGTCCTGCCAGCCAGAGAAGGAACAGCAATGGGATGCCTGTTTCCTTGCCAAGAACTTTGCAGCTTAGAACTAGCATTGAATGTGTTATCTTCTCTCCTATTCCTTTTTCTTGTTGCATTGTGTCTTTTATACTGTAAGCCCAAAGGCAGAGACTTCTTATTAATCTCTGTAAGCTGCTTTGCTTCAAAGAGTGGGTAAAATGATTTAATTAATAAATAATTACTTACTTACTTGTATTCATGCCTCATCTCCTCCACATCTGCAGCCAGAAGAATCATTGCAGCAACAAGTTTAGCTTCAAACCCATCAGGCATAAGGCAATCTTCAGTTGCTATAACAATTAAATTTAGTTTTTAAAATAAAATGTTGCACAGCTAGATTTTAAGATGCATGTTTTCAGATTCCTCATAAATACAACCACTTCATGATCAGTCCAGTCTAACTATATTCCCTACTTGCTGTGTTGTAAATGAAGATTTAAAATGTGTTAAGCTTAACAAGCATTGCTACTCTGAACACATAGGCAAAGTCCAGTTGGAGTAGAAAGTTTTAGAAGAAAAAAATGAAAAACTGAAAAAAGGAAACATAACACAGTAGGATGGAGAGTCTATTGCCCTTTTATATCAAATAAGCCATCATCTACATCAATTGAAGAATTAGAATTCAATCATTTTTGGCAATAAAGACATTAATTTTGCCAGATTCGAGTATATTAAAAAAACTAATCCTATTTGATGAAGATAACTAAAGTAAAACAACTTTATCTTATTCTTTCAAATGATCTTTACCATATGAATAAACTGCTTTGGTGCCATAGTCTACAATTAAACATTTCTGCATCAACAACTCAGGTGGTAGCAAGGTAAAAGGGACACACATTGGGTTGTAGTCAGACAACATGGCATAGGATGATCCTACACTGAAACAGTGCCCATGTGATGGCCATATCCATGTAAGTCCCTAACCAAAATGGCACACTGCAATCTGGCGCACGTGCACTGGGCATATCCATAGGCCATGTGTGCTAATGCTGTGATAGCACCACTGCACACTTTCAAATACACATTTAAAGGAGGATGAAATCATTTAACCAGCTAAATCACACCAGTAGGATTCTGACATTTTTGTTTTGAACAGTACGTTTTCAAATTCTGCTTAGATTTAGAAGAGGTTTGCCAAAAAGCATGAGTGGCCACTGTACAAAAGGTACAATTCCAAAGTTGATACTACATGCCCGTATTGCTTTTATCAAAAAATATTATTTACAGAATACTTACAATCGGCTACAGGTACTTTCAGATAATCCTTCACAAGAAATTGCACATAGACACTTAATACACTTTTGTCTTGAGGTGCATCACAGTTTAAAGGCCTTTGAAAGTGTCTGTCATTTATATGCAACCAATCACAAAGCTAAGCGAAACAAAACAAATTATTATTACAACCCATCACACCACTACTTTCCTACAAAACAAGCACGACTTTGTCTGCCTATTTACACTTCCACTGTTCACACATTTCTATTTCAGGATATTTTAAGTTGCATCACAATTACATAAAATAAATAGGCACATTCTCAGTTTCTTCAGGTATGGGCCAATTCTAGGATTTGTATTGTCAGCAGATAGCTCCTTAGAATGAAATCTTCCCCAGTCTGGGTCTCTGCACCCCAGAAAGAATCTCTTTTGGATCAGAGGAGACTCAGTGAAGGCCTGAGATGTGGTGTGGGAGGCTGCAATGCAAGGGGGGAATCAAAGGAAGGCAGACAGATACAGCTTGAGCAAGCATAGCTCCTGCCTGGGGGAGCTGACAGAGGGTTTCCTGAGGATCCCTGGTGCCTCCATAGAGGCCTCTTAGAGGGCTGCAGTGGAGAAAAGCAAGTGGGAGAGCCACACCATACAAAGAGACTTCTGGTTGCTGCATTCTGGATACCACGCCTTATAATCAGACTTGTTGTCACCAAGACTGACACGACTAATCAATTGATATTTTGACTTGATTTCATTTCTCTTACCATTGTCCACAAAACAGTCCCTCTGCCCAATGACTCATCTGGTCTCAGACATATAATGAAGTTTGAAATATCTGAAAGGGAGACTTTCTCCTAAAGAAATCAATTTTAGTAAGATTCACTAGAAACGAGGAACAAAACTAGGTACAAGGTTACCTTAGACATAATACTTTCATTTTGTAACTTAGATAAGGCAATTAAAAGCAAGCATCAACCTTGCTATTTACCTGGCACAGAAATAAAATGTCCTTTTCAGTTGCCTTGATCAACTAAGGAAAAATTACCAAATTCTTGTTCTATTCTGTTAACTATATTTGACAGTACAATGCCTTTCAAAAGTCTTATTCACTGAAGGCACAATCCTAGCTAGCTGGGGCATGCTTGGAATTATTGGCCTTTTCTCTGCCTGAACAGAAAAAGACAGAGTCTAGAGAGTCCAAGGAGGGGTTCAGTCCCTGTTCCAACCTCAGAAACTTCAAGCTTCAAGGGTCTCAGACCTCGGGCAGCCTGCTCTCTCTGTCCCCATAGCTGGCACAGAAAGAGCTGTGCCGGTTGAGGTCAGAAAAGCGACCTCAGAGTTGGAGGTTTGTAGGTGGAGTGTTGGGGCATAAGACTCTGTCATATATAAAGTGCCTCAGCCTCTCCTCCATGCAAGCCAGAGCAAAAGACATTGACACCCCAAGTTTGCCTCTTCACTCCTGCACTCTCTTGGGTACCCATCATGCTCTGAGATTGGAGGGCTATGGGCAAACATATTTGATTGTATTGTAAAAACAAAACAACTTTTGTTCATTTTAGTTTATCAGCATTTATCTCTATTAATTTAGTTAACATCCAAATAGTCTTTCAGGTTGCACCTATTCAAAGTGAGGGAACAAATCTCAGAACTACTAATATTTTGTATACAATGACTGTCAATCTATCCAAAACATTTAAAAGAGCACAAAAAAGCAATTTCCTTTGAATACAGTACTACAGTGTATTACTACAAAAGTAATACATGTTGTAAAACACATTAGGATATAATTTTCCATATTAAGTTCTACTATCAGTTCTACTGAATCCCCGTGTTCATTTTCAGAGGAGAAAAATAAAAAGCCAATGTTTCCCTTGAATACAGACAGTAGCATGAAAATGCACATTTAAAAAACAGCTCTTCATTTCATGTTCAAACTGAGATGCAGTGAGTCCCACATACATTTTCAAGAAGTCAAGAAATGCATGACATTTTTTTTGAGTACTAACAGAATGCAATAAAACTTGGTATATTCATTTATGATATAATTTTGCATATGAAAGGGAATGGTCCTATGGTCCCAAGGCATTGTCTGGAGGGCTACAGGATAGCTCAGATTCCCTACTGCAAGGTCAGAGACAATACTCCCATCTCACTGCTTGGAATCAGCGCCCCAACCACCTTCGCTACTCATGGCCATTGCAAGAAAGAACCACAGTGGCTGCTCTCAGGGTCAGAACACATTCTCCAAGAAGCATCAAAGGGGACTGGAAAAGAAGGAGACTGGAGCAGCGGGGCTAGAAAGTATCCTAAAGCTGTTCCAGCCTCCTCCCCTCCGTTCCTGAAGTGTCATTGCTAAATAGCTAAAAAACCAACAAACATTCAGCGACAGTGGTGATGATGCCACTCCTTTTGACCTACAATGGATGCCTGCAAGCCTACAAGTCTGAGGGCTTACTGCTATCCCCACAGGACTGTGCCCTTAACTGCCTGTATCCAATGTTAGTTCTACTTAGAGTACACTCGTAAAATGAATGGAATATTAATATGGAAGAATAATGGAAGTATCCAATGTAACCTAGCATTAATATAACTTACATTGCATGAGCATAAATTTTCTCTAGCATAAAGCCAAAGGTTCCTGTCATATCAGCAAGTGTTTTTGGTGTTACAAAATAATGCACACCTGTATTATTTTTGTTGCTTTGTTTTAAAAACTTGGAGCCTGGAAAGATAATTTAAACAGGGATGACATTTCACCTGAAATTAAAGAATTTTGAAATTCTCTATCTTTAATTAGGTCGTGAATGCTATCATCAATGCTGTGGAACAACAAATACATTTGCAAATATATTTTGGAACAGAAAGACTTACTGTATCTGTTAAATGTATAGCTGCTTCAAGAAGATAGCACTGAGCAGCTCCTCGCAAGAGAATCTGATGTGTGATCATAGTACACTGCAGAACTTCTCTGCAAACAGAGAAAATGCATATGTTCAAAAGTTAAAAATAAAGCAAGTATGTAAAACATTCACATAAAAACAAATCAAAATACTACCTCAGAGCTAGGAGTCCTTCACCATCCAGTGCCCTGTATGCTGGAATATGGGCCAGTGCCATGGAGAGAAATAAAATGGGAACAGCACACCAGTGTCTATTGCTCATCTTTTGTATAAACTTTAACAAAAAATCACCTTAAAAGAGAAAAAGAAAAAAATATATACTGCATAATAGACTTACACCTTTTCTGTGAAGCTGTTCAAGAAATGGGCACCCTGTTCTCTTTTTTATCTGGCCACCCTAGTCACTATGAGGATAAAATGGGGTTGGGAAGACTTGTTTCTCATCTCCTGCCAAGCTAGAATCATATTCCACATAACATACTCTGAGTATTCCGAACGCAGAGCGGGAAGGAAGAAAAAGAGCAATCTGAGATGAGAGAGAGTTATGCACTGAACTACCTTCCGCTAGCTTTCCACTAGTGCTCAGCCGCAAACTATGGGAATAAAATAAAGGCTTAGTGGAAACCAAGGCAGTGCCTTCCCCAGTGCTAGGTTTACAACCTAGGCAGAGCAATAGTCCAAGAGAGATGACTGTATGATCAATGCACACAGCAATTTCTCCTTCTCTCAAATGGCACCCAATTTTAGTCTCTTTGTATGACTGAAGAACTGAGTTTTATGCAATTCCAAAACCAAATCTAAAACTAAACATACTTTTTTCTTTATCTGGGAGGTTTGTGAAGAAAGTAGCCAAAAATTTCTGCAGCTTCATTCCTAATGGAGGAAAGGTTCCTATAATTTGGCCTGATGCCCTGTTTAGTTAAGGAAAAAAAATATATTAGAGAACACTTAAAGCCAAGATTACCAACTGACTGCAACCTACTAGTTTACTATTATTAAATACACTTGCATAAATCTCTATATGGATATTTTATGCTGACATTGTCTGTAGGCCCTTGGGTAAGTCAGAGTCCCAGCTTTGACCTGAAGAAAAGGTCAGTGCTGGGACTCCAACCTCAGAAGGCCGCAACTGCAGTCAGCAGGGATCTTCCAGGTGGGCTCCAAAGACAGAAGGCCACCTTCAGAGCTGAAGTGGGGTGGGAAGGTGTTCCAGGCATAGTGAGGAAAGGAGCAAAGCACTGCCATCCTCCAAAGAATGCTACTGGTGTCTCAGCCTCTCCTCCTCCTTACATTTAGACAACACAATTTAACCATCTGTTTTGGAGGTCAAGGAGTGCCTGGAGCTAATCCAAGCTTCTGTAGTATTCTGATCTTCCAGTGATACCTGTAACCCTCCAAGTTCAGAAAGTTATGGGCCAGACACTCTGGATGAAATCCCAGAAACAGGATATATGTAGTATTGTAAATGTAAGTATATTATAGATTCATTTAATTATAAAGTAATTATACAAGTTGGAATTCTTTTCATTCCTCATCAAAACTGAAGGGAAGGTCTTGGTTCAATTTCTGTCAGTGGCTCTGAGAAAGTTATAGGGTGACATATAAAATAAATAAATAAGATTTTAAGATACTTGTAAATATTCAGATCACCAAGAGATTCATTAATAATTGTCTTTTAAAATCGGCTTATCATTTAGCTTCTTCAGAGATTCAGTTATTCAATTTTTCATGGAATATAATTTTTCACTGCATTACCTGCTATACAGAGAACTTTCTGAAAGAGCATCCATTAAAGGGCCAATAATGAACTAAAGAAAGAAATCACACTTGTGTTAACAGAAATAACACTTTTATTTGTTCTACATTTAATATATTTTTACATATTACTGATTCCTAATAAAATTTCTATTAATAGAGAACTTAATTATAAAACAAAGTAAGCATGCCTTTACTAAAGAACAACTTTGGATGTGGTTTTACAAAAAAAGAAAAGCAAAACCTTCCACTGCACTATAAAGGAATTAAGAATCAGCTTTATGAAGAAAGTTTTAATATAAAACAACTAAACCATGTAAGTTTCAAAGCAGTGGAAAAAAGTATTCCATCTACTAAGTTATAAGCCAGCACACTTAGGGTAGAATCCAGAAATCAGGGTGCCCATAGCACTCTGAATACAGAGGACTACAGGCATCCTGTGCAGGTCAGTAGAAGCACAGAGAGGAAGGCCCCCTCTGCATTGTTCCCACCCTGCAAAAGACTTAGGCCATCTAAGTGTAGTAGCACTTTTGGCCATCTAAGTGTAGTAGCACCCCAGGGTAGGAGGAAATGAAGCTGAAATGCTACCAGGATACTTTGCATCATGGAATTTCCTGCCTCTTCCCCTCCTGCCTACCTGAAAACCCCCCAAACCTCATGTCCAAGGTTGTTCTTGCAACCTTACTTTTGGAGATGCAACCAGAATGGTCCTTTCCATGCTTGCTGTGAGGGCAGAGGAGTGCATGCTGAGCATGGAGACCTAGCTAGAAAGTTTGAGCATTCTGCTCTTCTTGTGGCTGGATTACTAAAAATTCCTGTGACGCCTAGACACTATGTAATGGCCCCAGGGATGTGCTGCTATTGCTCTTTTAAAAAATGAAAATGTGCTTCTATTAACTCCCAGGATGCTCTTTATAAAATACTAGCCCTGCCTCCTCCACACCTGTCTTGTACCCCAACAGTGGGATCGGCCTTAGTAAGTTGATGTATGCATTTATTATAGGAACTAGGGTCCCCTTAGATATCCCCTTATGTCATTGACTGCAGACCAGCCCTCAATAACAGAGCAAATCAGTCAGTGTGCACTTGGGATGCTGATGAATAATACTCAAGTGTTACAGAGGACTTTTCCTTGGATTTCCTTCAAGAGCTCTTGAACTGAAGAGCATGCTATGTACTCGTGCTCTCATTGTTTGCCATAACTTGTGTTAAAATTGGAATTTTTGCAAGAGCTGAGTAAGGCTGTCATGGATGGGGGACTTTGGAAGACATGCATTCATAGGGTCATCATAAGTCAGAGACAACTTGCCAGTACATAACAGCAACAACAAGATCTGGCCATTCCCAAAAGAGGGTTAAATCGTATTAATTCCCCTTAGCCCCACATAAAGGGAATTATAGGCATGGTAGGCATGTTGTGAGCAGAGCTGGCTAGAGCCAGGGATCAAACTAGATGGCCCAGGAGGCTCCTTCTGACTCGCGCTGTTTCTGTGTTTCTATAATAGAGACAGTAGAGTTCAGAGATACCATGACTAACTTTAGAGCAAGGTATACAACTTCCAGTCCGTCAGATATTTTGGCCAAAAGCTCCCATCAGCCCTGGCTAACATAATTTGTGGTGAGGACAAATTATGTTACCCAACTCATCTGGAGGGCTACATTTTGCCTAGATCAAAACAGGAAATCATAGAAGCAACGAGGGAACAAAACCTTACCTCTGAGAATTCTGGTGATGTGGGGAGATCTTTTGTTTGCCAGATTTCAAGAAAATGAATAATACCTTCTTTTGTTAACGTTTTGTTTTCACTGTCAAACATTCTTTGGTAAATGCACATGTGCCACGATGGGTGAAGCAGCCAACAACCTTTTGCAAAAAAAAGATTAAAAATTCACCTGAAAGTAGAGTGACAGGAATCTCTCAAGATACTTTCTCTAGCAATGTATGTGGGACAAGGAAGAATAACATGTACATGCATATTATTAAGTTATTATCACAGTAGCTTTGCATCTAACCACATTTTTTAAAAACTATTATTCTGATGTACATTAAACATCTAGCTGATTTTGACTGGTAAGGGCATTGTTACTTCTGTAACTGACTGTGCTCAAATGCCAGCCAAACATTTTGTAAATGTGCCTTCAGAGCCTCACAAACTTCTCATCCCACAGCCAATGAAAGTAATGTGAGGCCAAAAAAATATTAAGAGCACAATCCTTCCGCTCCCACATTTTCGTGAAAAGGTCTGAAGGAGCTGCCTCCTGGGTCACGCACGATGGTGCATGTGAAACAAGTGGCAGATGTATTCATGCTCTCTTTTATGAATCATATCTCAAGACAGAAATTATATGAACTTGCCTTTAGACTACAAGTCCTTCAAGGAATAAGAAACCCTTCTAGGGATTAAATTATATACATTGTTACCACCCATAAGAACTGGAAAATGATTACTTAAACTGCAGGGCAATCAAGTGCCAGGAATTTCTGCAATTCCCTCTGTCAAAGTCCCCCTTTGATACCCAAAAAAGCGAATGAAGCACTTGCCTGAAAAACACTTACCTTTGTGTTTTGATACTGCATACTCATATAAACTATTTAACTTTGGTAATACTGGTTTTATAACATGTATCTAAAATTGGAAAACAGGATTATATTAATTTGATTTACTCTATAAATCAATAGTACCATAAGTATAGCTTGAACTCCCAGGTTCAGTGCCTTCTCTGTGAACAGACACTTTTGTATAACGCTGCTTTGATGTACTTCAGTGGAACTTGGACAAGGCTATTATAGTTGCTTCCATGCTCAAATGTCACCCTCAACCCATCCCATGGAAACTGTTGCATTTTTTCCTCATTTAACTGGCACTTGATGTACACAGAATATTCAACACTGTGAAGATGTAAATATTTTTAGAGTGGCACAAAAGTGAACAAGAACAAACTGGCAGGTGTTGGCTGTGCAAGTATTCACCCTGTTTGCTGTGACATGCTCTGGGGCAACCCTCATGTGGAGTCCACCTGTGTGCCACATGATCTCGGATTAAATAGACCTGTTTCTAGAAGGCCCCAGAATTCATGGGGGGTGAACCTGACCAAACTGCATCATGAAGACCGTGCTGTCAAAACAACACAGGAATAAAGTTGTGCAGGCGCCCCAGTCAGGGGTGGGTTATAAGCTAAAGCAAACCCAAACTGTGAACATTCCCTGCAGTATCACTGACTCCATTATTATGGAAAAATTTTACTTAATAATAAAACAGGCTCTACCCTTGCTTCCATCAAGCTCTGTTCTTGCTGATGTACAGTCCTCTAATTTTGTATGTTTGCACCAGCAACAGAGGACAGCAATTTTCATCTGTGCTTTGTAAAAAATATTATTTACCTGATTTCCTTCCAGAGTCTCCATAATTAAAATGTAATTTTCCCAAAAGTGAGTAAGTTGTTCATTTTGTTCAGCACACCACCAGAACAGACACGGTTCTAAAAAATTAACGAGATAGAAAGATTTCTCCTCTCCTTTGCATGTCACTCACATGAAAAAGCTAATGAAACCAAACCACTTTCTCCCTAATAATCTTGCTAGTGACAAGAATTATTTCATAGGCAGAACTATATGCACTGAAAGCACAGCCTGAGATCTTCCAGCATCACCAGCCAAAAGTCTACATGGCACCATGAGTCAAACTTCCTTGCCAAGTATATCTAGAAGAGGGCCCAACTGGTTCTGACTTCTTCCCTGCCACCCTGACACTTATCTTGATATGAGACTCTGTCGTACCTCACCTGCAGTTACCCACCAGCCTCCCCTCTCCAGCCCACCAGTACAAGGATTATTCCCACTTTTATCACATGTACACCATGCCTGGCAAGTATCAGACTCTGCTACATATGAGGTGTGAGAGAACTTCACATTAGGAGTGATTGTGGTAGAGGAAAGATTGTGCCCAATATTTCTAAGTGTGCACTTCTGCTTTTAGCTGCTTTTTTACCTAATCTTCTTTCATGATCTAAGTCCATTCAGTGTTTTTTATGGCAAAATAGGATACTAACTTCACTGGATATTTCATGAACAATGAAAAAATGGCCTTCATTCTGGATACTGTTCTGCCCAATGTACTTCAGTATGAAACTTTAAATAAAGCTGTTGATTTCCTTTTCAGAGGGCAACTGCTGAACAGGGAAATTTGCTGCATCAAAGTGTGGCAGTTCTTAAATGCTCCACTATTCTAGATTTCCTAGAAAAGGTCACCTCTTTTTGTGCTCTTCTTAGTGAATGTATGAACATCGATAGAGACACAGCACTGTGGTTTTCCCATACACGTTTGCTGCCACTGAACCAGCTCCAAAGAGGCACTGCCATGTATTATCACAATTTCCAAGACAGTCTATTCCCAATGAGTAGTTCAAGTGCTTTGAAGGTTATGGCCACTAAGTATGCCAGAAGATTATTGACATAGTGGCAGTCTTATATTTGGGATAAACAGAGTGGCAACTGTCTGCCCCTACCCCACTCACTTGCAACAGAGAAATCCCCCAACCAGGTATATTGTCTCCAATGAAGGCAAGTGGGTTCCGCTTGCCATGTGTGATCTTGCCCTGCCTTCTTTTGACAATTTGAGTCAAATACTGAGCATCTGTCCTGCCCACCACCCTGCTGATAATCACCCAACACTGCAAAGCTAAGGAAATATTAGGACTACATTTCCTGTGCTTTAGTAGCTGCACACAAAGGGACATTTTTATTAAGTACAGTATTATTGCAGGAAGGACATGCCAAAGTTCTCTTTCACACACACTTCAGTAAAAGCACAAGAATCCTGTCATTTTGTTGCATCCCAACCAAAGCACATAAATGTTATGCATTGATTGCATTACCACAGAGATGCAACCCATCAAAAACCTTTGGGCTGGCCTAATAAAAGTATTATTCTGTATGGATACCTGCTTATAGCATTTACATCAAAGTGTAGTAATCATAGCGAAAAGGCCAGACATTCCAATGCTTCCAACCTATGGTCATCAGTACTTCTTGCCATGTGCAAGGGTCAATGTTTGGCATATCATTACTAACTCAGCTTTACATCAATGTTCGCCAAAAACTGCTTTATGTGGCTGAGGGTACACCCAGCCAATTTGCCACAAGCCTGGAAGTCAACTAGTGCAGGTTTTCCCCCACACCCCTGTGCTGAAGCTGATGTGAGTATAGGCCCTTTATCCAGTCTCAGTAACAAGCTACTTTATCCAGTCTCAGTAACAAGGAGGGTAACAGCCTCCAGATAGCTACCATTTCCTGGGTCTTGGCTGCACCTGCACTCTCCTCGCAGCTTTTCAGACAAGTCCACAGCCCGTTTCAACAAATAGCGAGCTCTTTTCCTGCACAGGGCGTCGTTCTCGGTCAGTCCTTTTTGCACTACTGTCCAGAAGCTACTGCAGAGCCTGGCGTCGAGCACCTGGGCGGCCTCGCCAGCAGAACCAGCACCATTCCTCTGCTGCGCGCCCGCGGGAAACACCGCGTCCGACAGGGCACTAAGGACCAGCAGCGCTCGGCTTGCCCTCTGAGGAGCCGTCTCTGGCGGCAGCATCAGCCCTTCCCACACGTGCCCCAAGGCGGCGCCATTCCTCCCCAGCGCCGGCAGCAGCCTCCCGGCCACCAGCACCGCCTTTTCCTCGTTTTCCTCCTCCTCCCCCCACAGCAGCCCCAGGGCCAGCCCCGCGCTTCGCTTTAGCAGGGCCGGCTCCCGCAACCAAGGGGCCACGGCGGCCAGAATCTCCACGGCGGCCTCCACCTGCCGCCACCCCGTCCCCTCGCAAGCGTGCAGAGCTTCCCGAGCCAGCTGCTCGGCTAGGGGGGAGCCACAAAGGGCGGCGCAGCAATGCAGCGCTCCACAGACGGCCCTCACCACGCGCCGCCATTCCTGCGGGGACTCCCCCGCCGCGGCGCCGCCGCCGCCGAGCAGCGTCCGGAGGCAGCGACCCAGCGCCGCCTCCCGAGCAACCCGCTTCTGCGCCGCCTCCCCGCGCCAGCCGCCACTCGCCGCGGCCGCCCGTTGCAGAAGGAGACGCAGCGACTCCGCTCGCTCAGCCGAGAGCGCCCCGTCTTCGCCGCCCACCGCCCGGAGCAGCGCGTCCGCGTCGCGGCACTGCGAGAGGAGCGCGTCCGCCAGCACGGTGTCCATGGCGGGAGCGCGCGGGCAGCCTCGCGCGCTTCCACCCGCCTGGAAGCAGAGCCGGAGACGGGCCTGGCAGGCCCCTCTCCTCGTGTGCTCCCCCAGCAGCCTTTGCGCGCAAGGTAGCCGCGGGCAAGGCGAGCAGTCGCCGGATGACAGGCCGTGCTGGTTGGCGTGCGGGGTCGGGCCAGGCCTTGCTGTGCGTCTTGAGAGCTGCAGGACAGGCGGGCACTCAGACAGGCCTCGCCTTCCCCCAGCGCATCGCTGTCCCTAGTGATGAACGGGCCTATGCGACTAGAGCAGGTTAGGGTTAAAGCTTGGAGGGTATACCGCAAAGTACAGAATTTTGGTTCTTTGCTTGGGAAGGTGGTATGTGCTCGCCTTCACAGCACTTACTTAAAGCAGCCTTGCACATGCAACTCTAGAGTCAATGTTCATGCGCAGCAGCTCACAGAAGTTTAAAATTGATCAATGAGCTTCACCTGGATCCATCCTGTAAAGCAGTCTTTCCCAACCTGTCTCTCCCCAGATGTTTGGGCTTCAACTCCCAAGCAGTATGGTTAAAATTCAGGAATTCTGGAAATCTTGTTCCTAAACACCTGGTTGGGGAAAGCTGTTCAAGAGAAATCCAGAAATATACCAGATTCAGGAGAACAACAGAAGAAGGCAATTATCTTTCCTGGGGACTTTCCAGAGGTATCTGATTGGATCCCTTGGGAAACAAGATGCTGGATGTCTTTGTTCTAATGTTACGTTTATCTGAAATATTTCTAGGCCATTTTTCCCAAATTATAACTCTTTTAAATTTGGTTTTAAATGTTTCATTGTTTACATGATAGTTTAATATGTTTTAATAGTGTATTTTTAATGTGCTGTTGGGAACTGCTCAGAGAGCTTCAGCTGTTGGGTGGTATAGAAAATAAAATAGGGCAAAAGTCCCCCAAGGGAGTTTTCAGCAAAAACAAAGAATCAATGAATATACTAAAATATCCAGCCCAAACCCAGACAGTACTAAAATTTAAGCACAATTGCTAGTTTTTCTGTTTTTATTTTTTTACTATTATTACATTCCATTTCTAAACTGCTTGTAGCCCTCTGGGTGGTTCACAACATTTCAGTCATCCAGTTTTCAATTATGTGAATTTTACTGTAGTATGCCACCTTGGGAGGAATATTGTCCTGAAAGGTGGCCAAGAAATATTTTAAATAAGTTTGCAGCTAAAAAACAGGACTATTCCTAATAAACATATTCAGGGAAAGGTCAGAGAAAATGGGAATTTCTTCAGAGGTCTCTTTTTGAAAATTAATTTTTAATGTGTTAAGAAAAACAGCTTGAAGATGGGAAAATGAGAATATTACATTTTTGGGATACAATTTAAAAGTTTCCTACACTAATTGCATATATTTTATATATCCCTATATATTAGTTCATAGCAAAACATACTAGTCCTGTTTTAAATAAATCTGTATAAATTTCAAAAAGGCAGCCAAGTATCCATATTTTTATCCATTTGTAAATTATGCCTAAAGACCACCCATTCCAAAAATAAAAAAGGTGTTAATGCATGCTTTCCATTAGTCCTTCAGCTGTCAAAAGGGCATGGGAATTGCATTTACACTGATTACACTTGCATTAAACTCCAGGAGTCAAGTAGGTGGTTAGAAAGGACATTAAACTCCAGGAGTCAAGTAGGTGGTTAGAAAGGACATTAAACTCCAGGAGTCAAGTAGGTGTGTATAAGTAAATATTAAGGAACTTTCCATCACAAAGTTTATCCAAATTATTACTTCTTCCTAAAAGGTGTTAGGCATTGCCAAAACATGAAAAGTGATGCATTAGCTCTCATACTCCCTCCTCCTCCTCCTCCCCCTTTTTTTGGGTGGGGAACTCTTAAGAGCAAGACCTCTGAAGATAATCTCAGAGTCTTGGCAGGTATATATGCAGGAGTTCCAGTATGTTTGTTTGTTGTTGGGTTGAAACAATGGGTTACTTGTTCCTCAACAACCAAGAGTTCCAGTTTGTATGTTGCATCACACAACTTCAGAGTGTTCAGCTGTGTGTGTGGATTGTTGATAAATGCAGATGCAGACTGGAAGTGGCACTCAGGCTGGTGACCACCAGTTCATGGGTTTAACAGTTCAATCACATCATACTAGGTTCTATGACCCTGCTAGACTTGATGGATCTTTCTCTTCCATCTGGAAAATGAGTTTTGCCATAAAAGAGTTTTTAAAAGGCTTAGTAGCTGATTCCTGTACTACTCGGTAGAATCCCAAGGAGAAGTGCAAAAGGTCAACATGTGCTCCATTACATTTCATGCTGTCCTTTTGCTCTTTTGAAGATAGTAGTGCAAGACTAGTGGTCTTTGCAAATAGAAAAGTGATTTGTAAAAGATCTAGTAGACCTTGCTGTGTTGCTTTTGGAACAGCAGGTGGTGCTGTTTTCCCTTCATTATTTTATGACTTCCCTTCATTATTTTCTAGCTCCAAAGAGTAAAAGTATATGAAAATAAGACTTCATAATTTCAAATGCTTAAAATCAAATAAAAGTAGAGAATTCTAAGATGTATAAACCTTGGAAAAATATGGAGACAAGCTAAATGTTCATGTCAGGCCTTCCAACTGGTTCTTTCTTTATATTAAGCATTAGCTTTGCTTCCATTCATGTGATTTAACCTACAACTGGAAAAAAATCCAGTGATGTTGGAGAAATCAACAACTATCCATAGGGATTGCAGCTCATGTGTTTATCCCCTGTATGTACAGGCAGAGGATCAAGTCCCACTATAAGCAATCTGGCAGAATGGGACTTGTAGTAGCTCTGCAATGTTCTGACAGAACTCAACAGACCAGTCATATGCGGAGAAATCTCCCTCATCCCAATCTCCCTTTGGTAGGCCTATCTGATTTCTTATTACCCTCTAATTTGTATAGTCTTCATTATGTGCCATCAAGTCATCTCTGACTTAAGGCAACTCTGAATGAATGCCTTCCATAATGTCCTGCCCTTGACAGCCCTGTTCAGCTCTTGTAAACTCAGTATATTCATTGACATGCATGTAAAATAAGCTTTACATGTTGATAAAGCATCACTGTGGCTGTGCAACATTTAACAAGAGCATTGAAGTCACATAGCAGTGCAAGAAAAAACACAAGCCTATTTATTCTGGTGTAAGCCTTTGTGGACTACAGCCTACCACATCAGATGCATACAGCATTATGCAGCATTTTGGGGGGTATACTGTGAGATTTGTTAGTCTTTAAGTTGTCCCAGGTCACCTTTTGTGCTGCAATAGGCTAATATGACTACCCTCTGGAAATTGTTATACTTGTGAAATAGGTACCTGTGCTCTACCTTTCCGCATCTGGGCAAAGAAAATGCCATCTACGTTGGGGCAGGGGGATGAGGATTCTGGAGCCAGGGCACTAGCCTCCCAGTTGCCAGTATTCAAAGGAATGAGATGCAACCAGTGATGGGAACACCACAACGGCCCAATGGGCACCAGGATAGGGGAAGATGTACTACCCAGAAGCAATACTATGTGTCAAAGAGGACAGAAGCAGCCCGTAATTTATGTAAGCAAGCTTGAGGCCTTTTAAAGTTCTGGAATCAAAAGAAGAGTAACTGGATACAGGTTTTCTGTCAGTATCACATGATGCGTGTGTGTGTGTGTGTGTGTGTGTGTGTGTGTGTGTGTGTGTGAGAGAGAGAGAGAGAGAGAGAGAGAGAGAGAGAGAGAGAGAGAGAGAGAAACAGTAGACTTCAAGCAGTACTTTGCATTTCCTGTTTTCTTTGAAAGTTTTATCCTGAAAGCTGGAACATTTGGAATGTGAATGATGACCTTGAAGAACATGTGAACAAGTAAGTGCACAGGAATTTGGAAAACTCATTGTAACTTAGCACTTTCTCTTTAATGACTGGCTAATCCTCTCAGTCAACTCATAAACATACAACGCACAACCGTGTGTTCTCAGCTAATTCTTGCCAATTTGAAAACTCCTGAGTCATTCCAATATCACATGGAAGCTTCCTTAACTGAGTACAAAAATAGCTTCCGAAGTGGGCCTTAGTTTGATGCTATAAAAAGCCATTCTTGATGCTAAAATCTTCATTCTTACAATTTACTTTAAAGGTACCAGGCTCATAGGCAGTCCAGAATTCAGAATCGTAAGCTATTTTTCAGGAATACCTCACTTATAATAAATATGAAAGGTGACTTATTCATCTTGCAAGAAAGGAATCCATTGTATGAGGTCGTTTCTTACTACCCTGGAATGATGTTGTCCATTCCCAAGTAACATATTCTTAATGACTGCAGTCACCCAGAGATTGGGAAACTGACCACATTCCATAAGTTTGGTGGGTGGGTTCTAATTGTACCATAGACATTGGTCTAGATCCAGTTGAAACTGATCCCCACTAAAAACAGTGGGTTATATTAAGGCATGATTTGCTGGTTGCAAGTATTTCAGTGGGGATTATATCCATACCCAAGCCAATATTTCTGAAAATGTGGCTGCAACGCATTTAATGGCAATGCCTGAAGAATACTTACCTGATCTTTGTTCAGAATCACTTCAGGATCACTTCACTCTTCAAGCAAGTCAGTTTTCTACTTGTTTGAACTATATTGATATTTGTAACATTCCCAGCACTGGATCGGGACTTAAGCATTGGGGCTGTGCATTCTTAGCTGATAAACTATTGAACTCATTGGAAACCATTTCCAAGTGCATACACAAGAAGATCAGGCTACTGATTAGGCAGACAGTATCCAAAAAAGCAAGTCTAATGTTGCATGGACTTCAGGCAATCCTTGATGTGATTCATGTCGCTAACAACCTGGTTTTTCCACTCTGCCTGAAGAGCCGAGAATGGCTATATGGAATACCTGCTAATAGCAACAACAAAAATTGTGCACACAAATATACTCTGAGAGAACTCATTATAGAAAAGTTTGTGCATTCTAATTTTAGGTGCCCTGATTGTGACCCAGAGATACTGTCTG